TGGTGGTGGTGAGGGAAAGTTTCGAACAAGGGGGCGTTGTGGATTGCTTGGCCGGAATGGGGGCGGTGGTGAAGGTGGCGGCGACCTAGGAGGTCTGGGCCTGGGTGGAGCCGGCGGGGGACTTGGAGCTCTGAAACCATTTGCTCCCGGCCTCGGGCTGGGCGGGGACGGCGGTGGCCTCGGCGGCTGAGGCGGGCTGGGAAAGGGAGGACGCGGGGGCGGCCTGGGCAGTCGGTTTGGCGGTGGTGAAGGTGGAGGCGCTCTTGGACGTCTCGGTGGAAGCTCTGGGGTTAGAGTTCCAACGGGGATGTGTTAGACACCCGGAGGCGTGAAAGACCATAGCTGGGCTTGACTGGAGGAAGCGCACGGCAAGAAAGATGGACTGCATCAGTTTGGACAAGAAGTGCCCACCCGCAGCGCTTCCTTGCCCATGACACAGCCTGTGGGTATTTCCTTGGTCCCAAAGAGAACTACGGTATGCTGCTCGCAGACCGCCTGTCAACAATGCCGGATAGAAGGTGGTCAAAGCCGTCTTGCGTTGCGCAACACTAGCCGTTAGGTGCTTGCCATTGCCGTATAAGTGCAGTTGGGCCCCGCCCAGCCAATACAGCACCCGTCCACCATAAACCGCTGCTTCGTACGTTGTTAAACTACCCATCACACGTAAAGTTCCTCACCGAACATCCGATCTGTCGTACGGGGTACTGGGGCCCACTTTGTCTTTCACTGTTCGCGAGGGACTTTGTTCTGTGACAGAAGAGTTATTTTGCAATAACCGGGACGCACCATGAATCTATTCCTTAAGGAGAAGAGAGGACCTTAATGATCGTTTCCTTCCGAGCACTTCAACCCAACCCGCGCCGCCACTTTGGGGCGCGTTTACTTCTTTTACCGCACCAGGCCGAGTTATGCGTAGTTGGAACACCGTTGGACCTCATCATCCCATTTTATGCGTAGTAAACGGCATTTTACTTCGCATGGATCCGCTCGCAGACGACGGTCAACAACCCCTGAGTGAATTTTTACAGTCAGAGCAGGGTATGCTACAAATCTTTTTTCTGTTTTCGGCCGCACTTCCTCCCATAGAGGCGCGTGTTGAGGAAAATGATGTCCGGTCAGTCTGTCGCCTGGTGCTTGCGTGATAGTTGGTTTCTGGAGTGGTTCGGAGCCATCAAACGTACTTGCTGATCGACTGTCGAACTCAACAATAAATAGGAATGAGCGAGCGTTTATCTTTGGTCTGGTATGCTTGTAGAGTAGTGAGTTGTGGCTGAGCTGAGCCGTTAGTTGCTTTTGTAACGCTCTGGCAATCACTACTGCATCCGATCCACTTAGCCTTTAACAGCACTCAACACTAATTTGCCGGTATTGGTGGGCACGAGGGAGCCATACCGGCAAAGTCCCCCAGTTGGTACCCGCAGTGCTAGTCCGGTCTTAGTCTCTCCCCGGTCTGTTGAGTAGGTTTGCGTGTAACAACATCAGTTGTGTTGCAAGCGTTCGGTCGCCAATCCCTCACCGCCCGACTCGGTCCGGGCCGGCCACATTGCGTAGTGCGCACTTACCTGCGTACGTCACTTGCGCTCCAGAGGCAGGCGGAGAGAAGGAAAATCTGCAGGGAATCGGTGAAATGGATTGAAGGATGGATAGGAAACCGGTGACGGAGTGTCACGGATTTTTAAACAGTCTTGCTGGTTATTCTGCCGAGGTTACAAATCCAAGGACGTAACGCAAGGAATTAAATTGCAGTCTAAGGATTGACTACAAGCGGAGTTCTCAATGCACGGGCTTGTACCAGATAGGTTTTGGGAAACTCATCGATTGGGCAACAAAGCATCTGGGCTACGAAGCGAAACCTACAAGATAAGCGATGTCATCATCAGCAGTTTGGAGCAAGATCGGGGCCGGACCTCTTTCCGCCCGCCAGTATAGTCTCGTAAGAGCATTGTCGTCATTCTTCTTCCGGGGTTTTCAAAGACTTTTCAAAGGTATCAACGCCATGAGAATAGGTTAAACAACAGCGCTTCGTTGGGAAGCTAACAGGGTGTTTCCATTGGGGCGAACTCTAGCAGGAGGATTCCACTAGACTAGAAAATATGTTAACTGTCTCCGAAGTGGTTAATGGCGCGCTAACAAGTACTGTTTTCATCAATAGCCCCGAGACCACCGTTTTTACGCTAGAAATCGTGGTCCGAGAGCCTCTGGGCCTTACGAGCTCTCTCGAGCTTGTGACTAATTTCACGTAACATAGCGTAACCTTTTTTCTAGTTTGGTAAGAAAACTGGCGTTCCACCCCACTAAATGTTGGCTAAAAGTAACCTACTTCCATGTATATGTCAATTACTGTAACCGATTACCGCGTCTACCATGTTACCGTCGGTGCGGCAGCGCAGTCAATTAACTGCATATTTTACCTAAATTGCTACTACCCTGAGATTAGTTAAATAGGACGACTAGAGTCGCGAACTTACCACCTGAGGTCGTTCAAGTGGTAAGTTTACCATGTACCGAGACAAACTGAGTAAATCAACATACAAAAGTTTTTTAGTACCTTACTGAACTCAAAATTCGCTAGCTATTCAGGATTGAGGTCCGGGGGCCTGAGTACGGACTAACTGCGGCGGTACAGTGCCAGACCGTTACACACTGCGTCGGGCGATCTAGCATTCCACATTAGAGTATCAGGTTTGACTTAACAAATTAATCAGCAAAAGTGCCTTAAGTAGCAACCCAGTTCCGCAGTGGCCGCATATTTTCGTACGTCGTGGCGCGCTTCGTCATGCCGTTCTTCGTAATGGCGCGCCTCCTAGTGGCGCGCTTACTGTTTAACAATTAACTCAAGAGCCTAACGCTTCAGTTAGATTAAAATTTCACGCTAACTGGCAAATGGAAGCCGGCCCACAACAGGAGATTCATACTCACGTCTGTCCTTGACCGCCCTTGCATATTATTCGTCATCATCTGATTACGCAAGGCTAGTTTCAAATTCTACTGCAATAAGTGACATCTAGGGGCACGTAGAGGATGGCTGCAAACGCCGATCGGGCCCTAGGGTTAGTCCCGTGGAGGACATTTGGTAGCTCGGAAGCAACGTTTGTGATGTATGATGTGTGAAACAGGGGGGTGTATCTTCGCCCGTGGCAGCTACCCTGCGAAACCCTGCCTTCCCCGGTATTTCGGGGCACCCTCATCCAGTCACCCTAGTCAACTTCTCAGTGGATCGCTCAGGTTCCGCACCCACCACCGGTTACCACGCTCGAGCAGTCCGCCTTTCTGCCGGAGCGGTTGATAGGTGCAAATGTTCTTTTCCTGCGGCACCTGCCGCACCTTATGGCAGGATAGGCCAATCGTGTCTCCTGGCTTTTCTAGATGTTGCTAAAGCTTATGATTCTTTAGATCATAATAATTTGTTTGAAGCAATGGATGCTGTGTACCCAGCTACCACAGCCTGTCCGGTGGCACAGGCAGTAGCGGATCAACTCACTCTGTCAATAGGATTGCCAGTCTCGCGGGAACAAATTTGGGCTTTCCAAGCCCCACAAACAGTCCAATAATGTGCTTGGGATGTTGTGGCTTTTGCTGCGGTGTCAGCCATGGAGCATGGGAGACGACATATGGCTGCAGCCATGAAAACTAACCTGGCACTGCTACCTGGCCCTTCCCTTACAGAAGGAACCATTTATTGAATTGTTGTTGACGTTTGGGGCCGTTTCGGAGCTCTGGGGAGTTCCACGGAAAGAATGGGATCACATCACCCCTTTTTACGAATTGTGTCAGGCGCGCGGTCACCGATGGACGATTAGCTATCACCTATTTTAGTTTCTTTTTTAATTCTTTTAATTGGAGGACTTTTGAGGCTCAGGCCTCTTTCAGTAATGGTTGTGGGTCCTGTTTGGTCGCGCTTGTGACTGTCTAGATGACTTGCGTTGTCTCATTTGGGTGGGAGTCTTGTTTGCATGTTAGTCTCTAGTGCAGTGCACGGCCAGCTGGCCAGCTGGCTCTACTCTTCGTGCGCCTGGAGCCCACTGTGACAACCACACACACATTAAAAGGCGAGCCGTAGTTGCTGCGTAGCAATCAATTTAATTTCACAGGTTACGATGTACATGCCTTTCATAAAGGTTCAGCTTAAATATTTAAGGTACATTCTCAAAGCAGGGGCGATGATTTAGACACTCACTCTTTCCTCCCTTTTAGTATTCTTGCATGTAGCAAGAAACCGGTTTCCCCAGCTCACTTAAGGTAAAAAAATATGAAAATGTTTTAGCGAGTTATTAGAAATAATTCTTTGGTATGAAGGTGGCTTTTGGTAAATTGTGCCAGGTGCTTGCACGGTGGGTTGTATTAACTGGAGACGTTTGCAGTCCGGTTCCGATTCGGCCCCGATCTGCTAGCCGTCAACACCAAATAATCATATTTGTTTTTATTCGACTGTGTCGAATAAGGTCTATTTTGTACACGACCCAAGTGCATACGATTAACACATGCATTGCGCAAAGTGACCTGCCAATGGAATCAGCACTTTATCCAAATATCATCTTTGATCTTTAGGCTAAACCTATAGCATGATTATTTACATGAAAAATCGCTTGCTTAGTTCAGCGTGGCCGGCTGCAGGCATGGGACTCCGTGGAAGAATAAACGTCATATTTACCGGCGGCCTCGCAGCAACACTATTCTTCCCTTACTTTATTGCTGCCTACAATGAAACTCTGTGTAAGCAGGAACGCAAATCCTGGATGGATAAGTATCGTGAGTTTCATAAAGCCAACCAAGGAGCTTCAGGAGCACGTTACCTCGTTTATTATTGCCATGGACAGGATAACTGTAGCAGCTGACCGCTGAAAAGGTCTCTCGAGTTGCTGGCGGTCGCGCTCTGCGCGTATTTATAGCGCCGTACTGTGTACCGGCTGCTACATTCCCCCCCCTTTGAAGGGAACCGTCCCGGGCCCTTAGAGCCTCGTATGCCACCAGCCTGTGCCTACCTTCGCCTACCCTCGGGCAGTGGGTAATTACTCCACGTCACGTCATGAGCCGGCTCACATGCGCCTAGCCGTCTTCAGATTTTTCAGGCACAGAGACAGTCCAGTCGGTTCAGCTACTTTTATAATTTGTGCGATATTCGCTCTCTGAGTCGCCGCACCCGAATACCACTCGAACGTGATCGGTGGGGGTTGAACCGACGACTTCAGGATCGTGAATTTTCACGAGGTCTCGATACCAAATGTAGCAGCTGACCGCTGAAAAGGTCTCTCGAGTTGCTGGCGGTCGCGCTCTGCGCGTATTTATAGCGCCGTACTGTGTACCGGCTGCTACAATAACTGCGCTGATGCAGGTAGGAGTTCTATACGCGCATTGCACCATATATGCCTTTTTTCAAAACCTGGGTCAGATGTTGCGGCGAGGCTGCTGCATGCTGCACGGTGCTGCTGTGTCTGCTGACTGGACGGCAACAAGCCGCTTGCTTGGACTATGCAAGTGTACTATTGCAGGAGGAACTGAGAACATAAATCCATGTGAACACTTTTTAGGATAATCGTCCCCAATGCGCAAGCGTGCGTTTTTGGTGGATTTTGGCGGGCGGGCTAGCTAGGACGGGCGGGCTAAAAGAATTAATCCTGAGGTTTTCTTGAGTAGTTGCCGTAACGCTTAGGGCTCGTACAGACGGAGGGATACCTGCAGGTAGGAAAATTGCGCTTGCTTCCGTGGGAGGGGGCGAGCCTGGTTACCGAGCGACTCTGCTGCTGAACGCTGTAGATTAGGCAGAAGCCGCAGCGGAAACCTGTCAGTACTGACGCCATGAACTCGCGAAATTACTCTTTTCGTCGCACTCCTGCGACTTACCCTAGCCCTGTACGGTCCAGCCGTACGCACCAACGGCACCAACAACATTCAACCGAGTACGCTCTCGGCAAATACACAGAAAACCTTGGTTTTCTTTCGTTTCACTCAGAAAACCTACTGTTTATCGTATCGGCAAACCGGTACGTATCACGCAGAAAGGTAACAGTACAGCTGCATTCCGCATTGCAGTCCCCTTCGTAACGGTTCAGGCTTGAGTGGTCGCTATAAGTCCTGGTAAACAAACTTCTGCCGTACTACAAAATAACATAGGTTCTAGTGTCCCAGCCTCTGCCCCGAGAGCACTGGCAATCATGGCAAGGCCACAACAGAGCTCCACCTCACCGATCGACCATGAGACCTTCGACATCCCTAGGTCGGGGCAACTTCTACGGGTAGATTAGATAACCTTCGACGTACCCCACCACGGCACAACGCAAAAGGACTGGGGCCCCCGCTGTGAAGTGGAACTTAAACGGACACGCGCACCATGAGGGAATGATGCTGCCCGTCACCGATACCTGATGCCCGAGCGAATAACGAACGTGATGAGGGGACGACAAGGCGCGTGTCCGCACCCGCCTAATCATGCGATGATACCTGCGCAACCTTGCAGGGACTCTCAATACGCTCCGTTTCCGGGCCTTTGGCGCCCTTGGCGCCGGCTGTGCATCACTACAGACCAGCTACCAGCTTGTCGCTTCCCAGTTGACTATCGGCTAACGGCCGTGTCAGCAGCTTCGGTTGGCGCCAGTTTTGCTCACTCACACTGCTGCTGGCTGGCGTGCGTGTTCCACCATACCCGCTAGGATAACATACGGACACACAAACCTGACCCTTTCCGTTGTGCACACGCACACGCACAATTTGCATGAGTTGATGAGGATTTTGCTAGAAGTTTTGGGGCGACAGGTTTGGCATGTCCGGACTGTGTGTTGGGTGTTGCTTTGCAGACAATTAGGACTGGACTCTTGGACTCTTGGTTCAGGTACCAAAGATGTTGGGAAGGCGTACGCAGAGACAGTTTAAGACAGTCTAAGACAGTTTAAAGGCGAAATTAGTGGCCCAGACGTCACTTCGACCGGGGGTTTGGCTGAGAAGTCCTGCTTACGGGTGTCGTAGCCCCGTAAAAACCGTTAAAAAACACCTGGGTTAGCATCTGCCGTAACCATGGTGAAACTCCGAAGTGAAAAGTCCCCCTCCCTGAGAAGTTACCCCAGGTCTTCTAATATCATTTCTAACGTTCTAATTAGGAATAATATTAGAATTAGTAGAGAACGCCAGCCATTCTAATAATTTATGCAACCCTAGATATGATGATGGGCTTCCTACCTGCTGAAATGAGGCAAGGAGCGATAGGGTAATGTATCATCAGGAATGATGTATGTGGTGCAGGAATTGGCCGAGAGGGTCAGTTGCTGTGTGGAGCGAATACACACGTCACCGTTACATCGTTGCATTAGGCACACACAGATTGTATCATGCACACACTTAGCGACACACACCGCCGTACAACTGGCGGCTGACAAAAGGCTGGTGTGCAAAGAGTGACTATATCCTTTATGCTTCACTGGTCAATAGCTAGGGCCTGCATGGCCACAGTTTGGCTTATGATAGGACTGACAGTAGGATTTTGCTACGAGACTTTCAACGCCACCCCACTTGTTTGCCACTCAACTAGGAAGTCAAATCTGGTTATGCATACATAGTGATCCCAAACATCGCCTTGTCCGGGACATTGTCTATTGTCCAACGGGTAAAGCATCCAGGCGCCTTTCCTTCCTAACTTTTCCCAATCGGCAAAAGTCCAGTTCGCTAAGCTGCGTCCGGCTTGAATGCAGCTCGGTAACCCTCTCCATGCTTCTCATAGTGCTCCTTAACGGCCGGAATGGAGGCGATCTTGTTACGGAAGGCCTTCAGCACGGGGTACTCGTCCAGCAAGTCCTTGGGAACACCTGCATGCAAATAGGTTTCCCGGCCGCCCAACCCCACAACGGTAGAGCAGCTTTCCAACGGGTGCGGTCATTGTGTGGTTTGGCTAGTGTGGTGGTAACTGGCTGACCTGAAGCAGTCCGCCCAACCCCACCTTCACATTGGCATGCCAGCGAGCGAGTAATTCATTGGGATGGCCCCAGCAGGTTTGCCTGGCCGGCCTCTGGAATGCACCCCGTGGGCCATTCCTGGAGCAATGAAAGCGCATGGAGGCTGTGACCTGGAATCTAGGTGGTAGTGGCTGTAATGTGCCGGTAAGCAACTCCAAAGGTGACATTGCACCGATAAGACGCCAGAGCGCCATGTCCTACACTAAGCCATGGATGTGTCTATGCGTTTTGTGAATCACTCCAGATTCCTACCGTCCATGAAGCCGCTGACAAGGTTGGACAGTGTCGCGAAGATCACGATGTCACCATACGACAACTTGTCACCCGCCACGTACTCGCCCGACGTTTCCTGTATAGCATGTGGACATGTATAGTAACCACCATCATCAATGGTACATGCGATGGGAAAAGAAAGGCGCCCGCTTTTCGGATCATGGGTGTTACCAAAATAAACATACCGGGAGGAACATACTATATGCTGCTGCAGCAGCCGCTCAGCAACACTCAGGCAAGCAGCAGCAGCAGCAACAACAACAACAGATGCGCAGCAGCAGCTGCAGCAGTAGCGCAGCGACAGTTAAACAGCAGCATAGCAACAACCGCAACCCAGCAACAACAGCAGGAGCAAAGGCATGATGCATGCTTCCCACGGCGACCACGTAGCACCCTGGTGCAGCTGTTACATGCATACGCATATACAGCCACCGCGGATACTACTAAACTAGAAGATCCGATCCCCCGAAGATCCAGGTGGCGGGTGGACTGAGGGCCCGCCACCCTTGCTTGCAGATATTGCACCCGGCCCACTTGTATTGACCACGCAACCCTAAAACCGCCAATTCCCCCATCTCCAGCCCTTACTCATCAATCCACTCCCAGGTGTATATGCAAATCGAATAGATGGACGCACCAGGAGCTTGGACAGGTACAACATCTTCTCCTTCCCCTTGGTGGCCAGAATCTCCTGCCGAGCCTTCACCTTCTCTTCTGGGGACATCTGGAACGTTGGTGTGAAGAGCTGTAGCCACCGAGCGGGAGAAACACACACATGGATGCATACAGCTTGTGTCTATATGTCGCCGACAATAACCAATAATCGCAGTGGAGGGAAACCTGGTGATTGGTAAGGCCTTACGTAGACTCATAGCGGAAGGTAATTAAGCGGTATGGGTTCATGGGAAACGAAAGGAATGAACATGCAACGGGCCACGACACCAGCAAGAAGGGGGCCATTTAGAGGTAAGAGGTATGTGAGTGTCTGGGTGTATGTGGGTAAGGGGGGGAGGTGGCACAGTACAAATATTGTCCCTATGGATAGGAATCATTATTCATCTTAGGGTACGGTGGCCGAGTGGTCTAAGGCGTAGGATTAAGGCTGAAGTGAATTTATCATCTGATCCAGAACCTTTTGCAACTTACACAAACTATATTACAGACTCGATCAAGCCTTTGAAAATGCTACCAAAATTAACTTATTGCTTAATAAGTTATAAAGGCGATATTCTCAATAACTTTACGATACAATATAATTCTAATTATATTTTTATCTCTGGCGACCCAAGCCCATTTGAAATTGCCTTTTTTATTACTTGTTCTTAAGAACCTTTTTGACCTTAACTTTCTGGGGATTTCCCGATCCGCAAGGGCGCAGGTTCAAATCCTGCCCGTATCAAGAATAGCTGATGTAGTTATTAACCTACAATATAATTTTTAAAATATAAACCTACATGTAACCTGTACGGGCACTCTGACTACGCCACAGCACCACACACGCAATCGGATCTCTGGGCTAATGTCGTTTCTTTCAGCCGTTGTACGTCCGGTCTGGTCTAGTGACACCTTTGTGTTAGATGAAGGCTATGGGTTCAATTCCTGGGCAGACCCCCGACATAAATCGGGAGAACTAGATTTATAAGTTGCTACTGAGGCATGGAGACAAGGTATAATTGATGGACTAAGTCTCGCATGCTGAGTTGGTGATGCTGGCTGATCTGTCTCTACGGATGTCGGGTTACTGGATGAGGCGGGGCCTAAGTAGCAACACCAAAAAACCGCCGTCGGTTGTACGGTGGAATCAAGTTCCAATATATATAATCCATGGCCTCCCGGCTTTGACGGACCCCCCACACTCGTGCGGCACTTGTAACATTCAGAGGAATGCAGTCAGACCAGTGCAGCGTGCATGCAGTGAACACATGATAATCAAGACACGGGCGACCCACCTGGCCTGGCCGGCATGGGTACTGAAGAAGCTTAAAATACTCTGTACAACCATGTACCTTGCAATGTGCACACAAACGACCTATCACGCCCTCACTTGCCTCCAAAATGTCAGACATCTGAAACGCTGCCTGGTCCGCCAGTGCCGCCTGCAGCGGATCGTCGGGGTAGAGCCCGGCTAGCTTGGCGACGTAGCGCTCTGTGAGCGCGTGGGAAAACAAAATGGCAGCGACGTCCAGGTCCACGTGCACACGAAATCAACAGCAGGCCGTTCCAAGGATGAAAGCAGCAAGAGGATGGCATTAGGAGCGATGGCGGCATGGACATGCACGCATGGAGCAAGCAACATGAAGAATAGTAAGTGCACATGAGATTTTACCAATATCACATGGACGAAGAGGGGCAGCAGGTTTCTTATCTGAGTACATTTCCAGGTACGTGGCTAGCAACTTTTGAAGGGCAGGGGCAGGCGCATGGGGTCCCATGGCAGGCCGCCCATGCGGGAAGGGACCGGACGCTGCCGGGGGTGTCACAAACTCATCGTATGCACCGGAACTGCTAGCCCCGTCTCATGGCGGCCCTACTAATGGACGGTATGGCTCCCTAGAGGACCTGCTGGCAGCGCGAGCTCCCGCTCAGCAGCGGCCGCTCCTCAGGACCGCAATAATCATGATTAACTGTGTCAGCGCAACGAGCGAGAATGGATGTATCTTTGGCGGGACGCACCAATGGCTCCGCTTTGGGCCAGCATTTTCCCATCCTCCAGCTCGAGAACTGGGACCTGACCGAAGGGCATCTTGGCTTTGTGCTCTTGCCACGTTTTGAACTCGTAGATGACATCCTTCAATCAAGATAAAAACGTAATGTAAGGCAGGACTTACAATTTTGTAAGCTGTAACATGTGATCAGCCGCGAAGGCGCCGTGACCACGCCCTATCCAGGGATCCCACCTCGTAAGGAACTTTCCCGATAGTAAGGCAGATACGGGAGGTCTCAGCTCGGCCCGGCAGACCAAAATAATGCAACTTGAGGGGCATTTCCGAAAGCCTTGCTTCCGTAATGATCTTACGATTCGTCACTGACGCCACGCGGTTTGGCCTGAAAGGCGATGGTACTTTGCAAGGCCTTGTGAGGTATGATAGCGTAGGCGCAGGTTGGTTCGAGAAAACTCGCAGAGACTTCACGCTTGTAGCAAAAAGCATGTGAACAATTGATTCTTTGACAGAATCGTGCTTGACCACTAGTATTGTAGGGATCGCTAGATGACGCCAAGGTAAGTGCCTAACAGACTTGCGTAATCGCGTAAAACGTACTGCATGGTAAGTCATTGCACGGAAGGAAGTCCAACTGCCCCCATCGAGTTCATTATCAATTGCTTTAACAAACTTTTTATGGGCACAAGGATGCCTGTGCCAACTGACCTCCGCCCTGTGCATGTCCTTTGCGCGCTTTATTCTCTCTCGCCTCCACGTTGCTGCGGAGGCAAAGTGCAGAATGTGGTCATGGCGGCAGTGAAAAGCTTTAAGCATTAAAGCAAGCTAACTGATAGCAGGCCAGCAGAAGTCGAAGAGAGACCTAATTTGAATTATGCAAGAAATCCCCATTGTCCTTACACCGCTGTAGGAATATATGCTAAGATACACATATTGTATGTATAGCGCGAGGCAGGTCTCAGCACTCAGCAAGAAACAGAACCGTGCGACGAGCAGCCGCGGCCGTGCAGCGGCTAAACATCACGTGCTATCCTATGATGATAGCAAATAGATGGTCTATAGACGATCGACAAACGTACAGACACGTGTTCCACTGTCCCCCGCCAGACAGTGCTGCGTCCGGCTTGACGGTGATCCGAAAGTCGTTCCGCGTGTCACTCCATTGTTGTCCTCATGGTGATGGAGGTAATGTTCTTGCAGGAGGCGTTCGTGGACTGGAGTCCGTCCTGTTCACTGCTGGTGAGAGCAGCAGGCACACGGAATCGCGGATGTGCAACCCTAAAGCCCTTAGAGCAATTGGACATACTTGCACAATGTAGTGATAGCCTGTAGTGATATCCCTCTCATCCCCTTCTTCAGCCTGCTGGCTCAGCGGCAGGGCGGGGAAGTTCAACTTCAGCTGGAGACCAACGCATTTTACGTTTTTTTCCCGGTGGACGGTCATCACCCAGCCCAGTAAAGACAACTCATGTTCCGGCTGACTGGCTTGACGTTATTGATGTGTTTTGCTTGTGCGCCATCAGCGCTATGTACCATATGTATGTTGCCGCTGTTGTGGTACCGAATAGCCGAATCGAGGAGGAAAAACACGTGTTATTGGAATGCCCAGCCTATAATGACATTCGTGCTGAAGAGGGATTCGATCATCAACGAAGCATGTTGGAGGCCATGAAATGGGAACCAGTACGTCTGGCGAGGATGTTGGAACGTATGTGGGCTCACCGAAACTCAGTTACCCCTTTTGGACGCTAGTCTGAGCTGATGTACGGTGTTTCCTGTTCTCCGTGGCTTTTAGGCGTATAGGTATTGCCCTTGGGCCTTCGGCTCGTATGGGTAGTTTTACAGGTATGGGGTCACGCACCCCCAACCATGTAACACACACATACACACACACACACACATATGTACGTGTGCAAGGAAGGATCTCCTCAAACATGTGTTGCGACGACCGGCACATGGGGACATGGTGTGAATACACACACACACACACACACACACACACACACACACACACACACACACACACACACACACACACATACACACACCAGTAGGTTGCCTCCAGCACAATCAGTTGCATGTATGAGCATGCGTTTGTTTTCCAACCCGCTCACCAGCCGGCATGTACCATGCACGCACGAAGTACAACACTGGCTACCTACCCGGCAGCCTAGAATACCCCACCCGATGCATGTCAACCTGTAATGAAGGACTCTACTGCCCCGACTCCGGATCCGCTACTGTAGCACAACAAGATGTAGATACGTACTGCTTGTACGGTGTACAACACACCGCACTCATCGAGGTGTAAACATTAGGGCACGGAGAACCACTGGCTAATATACTTCTAAGATCTAACTGCTTCTGACTTCAGATTGGTCCGAATCCCCTAGGCCAGAGCTTTGCTTGTTGCTAATTGAAACGATAAGCAAGATTATTTACTAATTGAACAACTTTCCTTGAAGCCTATGATGTTATGCCTGCTTCGCTCAAATCTGTCCTCCGTTCCCAGCCTGCCAAGTCCCCTGGACAAATACTTTACGCAACATCCGGCTTGAATGCAGCTCGGTAACCCTCTCCATGCTTCTCGTAGTGCTCCTTAATAGCCGGAATGGAGGCAATCTTGTTACGGAAGGCCTTCAGCACGGGGTACTCGTCCAGCAAGTCCTTGGGAACACCTGCATGCAAATAGGTTCCCAACACCCACATATCAGCAAGCCTGCTGTAATATTTGCGGTCATTGCTTGCTTGTATATTATCATTCGAGTCGATTTTGCCGGCGGCTTATATTGCTTGCAGGAGCTCAAAAGAGTTTCGGGGGTAGGTGCGTGGTAATCCCCACAGACTGCATGCATGCATGCGGCTGTATATGCACTGCTGGCAGCCAATAATCTTGTTGCCATCGCTCGACATGTGCATCATGTATCCATCTTGCAATTTCAGTAATGAAAAAGGTCACACTCCCTCAAGCTGAGGGCCATGCGTGAGCGCGCAAATGTCGTACATGTGTCACGAACGCAGTGATGTGTGCACGTGTCCTGCAGCGCAGACAGACGCACGGAAATACAGCATGGCTGTATGCCATTTTCGCACTACACAATCAGACAGACTAAGACCTACGGTATGAGTCATCAACCAACGCCCCACACTTGTCCCACCACGCACGTGTCGACCACTTCGTTCTGTTATATGTCAACTGAGCGAGTCACCATGCTGCTGGCCACTGCTGCTCGCTTCCTGTACATACACGAGTACGGAATCCCCCTTCCCGTCGTCTGTAAAAACGTCTATCGCCTGTAGACTGTGCCTTGGTAACCATAACAGATGGGAACCATACCTACTGATTATACTTGGGCACGATCTAGGAGACTTTATATACAGACGGTAAACGGTAGCCTGCTTGGCAGCAAGTACCAAGCTCAATGCCATCAATGCGAAAGATGCCGACCCCTCATTTCTTGAGGCTATGAGCTGCTTTGCAGCAGCAGCTACGTACGCACCGGGCAGAAAGCCACTAACAAGGTTGCACAGGTTCCCGTAGATGGCCGCGTCACCGTATGACAGCGTATCACCGGCCACGTACTCGCCAGGTTTTTCCTGCACGGCAAATAATGGAGGGCCGCATTGCGTGCCGTCATAAGTACGGACGGATGAAAGATCAGCAGGCGTTATTGTCAGCTGGGTAAAAGAAACTAGAAATGGAGCCCGCCGAGAGTGGGCGTGCATGCATTCTGCTTTATTTCTAAGGAATGGGGGCCTCTCGGGTCGAGATTGGAAGGATTGATAGGATGTATGGCTAAAACAAAAGGAAGGATTAGACAAGAGTTTTAGCGTTTTAGCGCACCTATGTTGCTTGTGTGTGCGTGCCGTACTGTACAACAGCTATTATAGCCTGCAGTTCAAGTATGTCCCTGCAAGTGGAGTCCTGTCCTGGCCCGGCAGCAGGCGTCCTCTCACATGCGCTTATCGCCACCCGCAATAATGGGACATACACCGTCTCCGCATGTCTCCGCAAAACCCACCATCCGCGAGCGCTATTGTGGTTGGCAATAATGCACTGCAGTTCTTTGCAGCAGTCGTAGATCAGCTTTCACTTTCAGTGCCCAGGTTCCATGGCTGGCAAACTACAACCCAGATGCATTCAAGCAAGGCGCCTGCGACAGCCGCTTCTAACTTGGAGCAACTATCACGGCAGGCTACTGCTGGTCCTGCGTGCTGACGAGGTTCCAAGCAAATGTATGCCGTCATAATGCATTATGGCTCCATATGGCTCCGGCCTCAAAACACAAAGTGATCACTGTGATGTACTTCCGAGTTCACCTTTTCAGTTTAGTGTCCTGCGTTGCGCATAATGCCGACTTCACGAAATAGATTACTATACCTGCCATACATGCAGACTCCCATATATCGCCCCTCAAACCACCAACCTCCCCATTCCCTGCAGCGCGAGATTCCTTATTAGCCTCCCCCTATGTCCAGCCTTGCCCCTGCCCCAGTGGCAGCGACGCACCAACAGGAGCTTGGTCAGGTGCTGCAACTTCTCCCTTATCTTGGTGTTTACGACCACCTCCTGCGCCTTGATCTTACTCTCCAGAGGCAGCCTGACGGTGGGAGCGAAAGACTGCCCGCGCGCGTGCGGCCAGCGTAGGATACTTACAACCCGAATTAGCGAGCGTGAGCAAGGTACAGCATGCAGCGGTGGTGGCAGCAGGAGGCTGGTAGAGGGGGTAAACGGGTCCTAATAGGATATCTACCGTGGGATGTAGGATGCATGGTAGGTTTCGTCAGGCAGCAAACAAGTATCTTTTGTAATAGAAATTCAAGGATTGATTCCATAGTGCAGGAGTTGAGGCTTAAGCAGACGAGGCTGTAGTGATGCAACATAGCGCAAAATTTTTAAGTTATTTACTGTAGCTGCCTGGGAGCCGACTAGGAGTGGGATGATAAATTGCGTTACACCACTGTTATTAAAATGAACAACTTTTTATTGGATGCTAAGTCGGTCATCAGGGTGAAGGGCTGGTGTAGTAGCTGGTACACAGTACGGCTCTACAAATACGCGCTAAGCGCGACCGCCAGCATCTCGAGAGGCCTTTTCAGCAGCCAGCTACTACAGCTGGATTGGGGTTCTCCCCAAAACAGAGCGGAGGGCCAAAGCCTAAACTTTTCGCCAGGCGGTGAATATGTAGCCCCATGTAAACACATCCTTTCTTGACTGGTCCACGTTAGGTAATGCATCCCAGGTCCCCAGGCCCTGCCGAGCCTTCAATAACCCTAATCCGTCCACGGGGTGATGGTCTTGGTGCGTGATTGGTGGTGAACATGGTTGGCCATGGCTGACTCTGTCTCCTCCCCCTGAGACCCTCACGCTGAGACCCTTTTGTGGGATGTAGTGCGTAGGGTGCAACACTTCCCGTAGGAGTGCAGTGGCGGCAGGGGGTTCTCACCGGTTGTTGCGTGATGCTGTCCATGCCGTGATCGAGTTTCACCTTGGCTGGTGATATCAACGGCTTTATGGCCGTATGCATATGCAGTGTTTGGGTGTTTGGGTGGGGACAGCAACGGCAATGGCCTCGGATCAGCTATGTACTCTTAACCAAATTCGTTCATGTACACAACATGTTGCCCATACATAGGATCACATTCGCGAGGTACATGCTGAATTTGTATACGCGCCTTATTACGTACTTGCTCACCTCCCAGATGTCAGAAAGGAACACTGCCTGGTCCGCCAGTGCCGCCTTCAGCGGGTCATCGGGGTAGAGCCCGGCTAGCTTGGCGACGTAGCACTCTGGTTGAGTGGCGGAAGCCAAGGTGGGCGAAAGGGGGCCGTACGGGCTCAAGGAGACCTCAATCCGACCCGGATAGAGGCATGACAACGGACAGAACATCATGCCAGGTACGTGGAGTGCCAAAACTTGCTTTAGCGCCCTCCAGCGTCAGCAGACGCGGGCGGGTGATTTCCGGCCAGAATGCACACGTTAGAGTCACGTACATACATACATACGTTTGGCACTACTGGTAAGGCGCGACCATTGCCCCCGGGAGATCCCGGGATCGATACCGATTAGGGTCAAAAGTCCTTCCGATGGTGGAAGGCATTGCGCCCCTAGTTGATGGACGGTGGTGACCTGGGATAAAGTTAACCTGCGAGCCGACCAGGAATGGAGTTGGGCCGCTGTCGACCCGGCAGATTCCGTTGGATGCTGGTGGTGGGTGCGGAACCTGAGCGGTCCACTGAGAAGTTGACTAGGGTGACTGGATGAAGGTGCCCCGAAATACCGGGGAAGGCAGGGTTTCGCAGGGTAGCTGCCACGGGCGAAGATACACCCCCCTGTTTCACACATCATACGTAAGTATGTACTGCATGCATGCATGGTTCGTGCGTAGATGGGGTAGAAATGGGGTAGAAACCCTTTGCCGCTATGCACTCTACGGCTGGATGGCCTCTAATAATGCATCACAGTTTAAAAGTGTAGGGCATGAGGATTGCAGAACAGCCACCAGCGCGAACGTCAACATCAACAAGGGCGTTGCCTCAGAGCGCAACTTGGGTTTTCTTGCTTGTGCGGGTGCTGCATGTCCCTACACACACGCACGATATCGACATAATGACATCACTAAGCAGGCTCGTAGCCTTAGGAGTGCTCGTGTCAGGTCGAGCAATTCAGGCCGTACCGATTGCCCGGCTCTGAGCCAGCATCTTCCCATCCTCTAGCTCAAGGACCGGAACCTGGCCGAAGGGCATTTTGGCCTTTTCCCTGGGCCACTCAGTCCAATATTCATAAATGACCTCCTGCGTGCGATTGATTGCGAAAAAGAAAACCGTCATATGCGTCTGGCTTGTAACCTGTCCCCGTTGCAAATCAGACAATGCACCGCAATCAGCCAGCAGGCAGGGTACGTAGGCAGGCAGGCGGAGCAGGTTCATCCTCGCCTCGTGGGGAACCTTGCCGAGGGCGAGGCAAATGCGGGTAATCTCAGCACGGCCAGGCAGGTCGAAATAGTGCAGCTTGAGTGCAGCCATTCCTGCAGCAGGCCTATCTTCTGCTGTCCTGTTTTGGACGTGAGCTGAAAAGACCTCGGTAGTCAACCGTGTAGCGCGGCGCAGGCACGGGTGCAAACTCCTTGTTAGCCCCAAGACTTGCGAGGCTTCTCAGGCGATCGTAACGCGATGTGAGATAGTTGCAGGTTTGCACGCCTGCCATAGATCCAGTCGGCAGTAAGTGAACCCGGCCAGCATGATGCCGCTCTTCGGTAAGTTAACGATCCAATGGACCTCAGCACGACATCCACAGACGAAAGCTTGTGTCATACCGAGTTCCCGAAATGGGAAAATCGGTCCTCGGACTTAGGATGCTTACAGAGTTTCGGCGTTCATCAGAGCGGATTCCTACACACGCGGGCCCTTGCTGCGGCCTGGCTGATGGGTCGCCGTCAGGATGAAAATTGGCAATTGAAGCATTGACTTCGCTCGTGAGTCGGTTGCCGAGCTCTGCTCGGGAGGAGCATAGCCGCATCGGTGTCTTATTCCGAAATGATGCCTCAAACCCAATCATAACGATGTACCTGTTCTGAAACCATGCGTCATGGTTCGACAGCTTGAAAGTGGCCCACTCCGTTGCCTCCAGAAGGGCTCGGTACGATGGCGTGCCGCACACACTGTCGTATGGTTCCCAGGACGCGTCTAGTTGCCGAGAAGCGGCGCATTTCACCAGGAATAAAGCAATCGGCAGCACTGCTTGTCGTATCTCGGGCAGATGTCAGCGATGACATCATCGCTGCCAGCATCAGCTAACTGGCGCCGATAGTGGTGGTGGTGGTTTACCTGGAAAAAGGTCCGAGTTCTTGTCTGTCCAGGGGCATAGGCGGGAAATGTGAAGAATCGGGTGATGCGGCCGATGATGATATGGCGAGGCGGTAGGTGATGGGGGAGATGACCTTGGTGACCTTGATAGGGGCTGAGGTGAGTGAGGGTGAAGTTTTGGAGGGGTGTGTGGGTAGGGTGAGGTGTTCAGTGGATAGGCGGACACGGTCACCCGTTTTGGAGGTAAGGTCCTGACGGTGTTGGTTGGCGGCGACGGGGTAGCGCGCTTTTTTTTTTTTTTTTTCGCGGTGTGAAGTTCACGGGTGATGGTGGAGTGGATTTGGCAGAGCTGGCAACGGAATTCGGCCGGGCTGGCGGTCAGGGGTTCCTCGAGGACGACGGCGTGGACTTGGTAGTGGGGGCAGCCTTGCCAGGCAGTGCGGAGGTCTTGGAATGGCTGCTGAGGTATACGCAGAAGCACGACTACTTTCCCTGCTGGTCTAGGGAGGGAATCTTAATTAAAGCGGTGGAGGCAGCAGTCCGGCAGCGCTGGAGTGGCTCGTGGTCCGAGGCTGCTGCATGGGGTCGAATGGTTCAACGTGTGCTGATGAAATGCTGACTCACAAAACACTGTCAATTAGTTTTTGTACACCCGGCTGCTGCTGTCGAGTTGGTCAAATGGGTGATAGGTAAGGGCTGCACCTATTCCCCGTGCGTGCGAGAACGGCAACGATGATCCTCAGGATGGTCCTCGCGTATTTATAGACGATATGTGTGCCGTGCTTATGTACAGCTACTACAGGAATGAGAACTGCAGTTCATCATTAATATAGATTGACCGAAGCATATGTACTCAATTGCCGTAACCAGATCTGCTTAGTTATTTCATCAACAGGTTCCAACGAACAGTGTTAGTGTCGGTATTATTGATATCCCCCTATACAACGAAAAGCGCCCATGGCCTTACATTAAATACAGCGCGCGAACACAAATCGTGCCAAAGGGTTACTATCACACTTGCTTAGGCGAAAGTAAGTTACTTTCGCTTATGCAAGCAACTGAACAGTTCATACGTTGCCTTGAGCCATCTCGTCCATTGCCGTGCTTGACTCCACCGGGGGCGCTATCCAGGCACAGAAACGGACATCGTACTGACCATACACTCTTAGCACCGTACGTTACAGCACGCGGCGTCATGCAATCAAAACGAGCCCCAAGGAAAGCGGCTGATATTGCTTCCGTCGGCCCTAGGGCTTCGGGGTTAAACGCTGAAATATGGCGGTGCTGGACGGCATTGAACGAAGATGCAATAGGGCAGCAATTAGACAGCACACATTACAGGCCTTCCCTTTCCTCCGTCGTTTAACCGTCCAAAATGTGTGCTGTCTAATTGCTGCCCTATTGCATCTTCGTTCAATGCCGTCCAGCACCGCCATATTCAGCGTTTAACCCCGAAGCGCTCTACTTTGTCTCTTTTACCACATGCACGCTAAACAAATAATCTACGCAACATCCGGCTTGAATGCAGCTCGGTAACCCTCTCCATGCTTCTCATAGTGCTCCTTAATAGCCGGAATGGAGGCGATCTTGTTACGGAAGGCCTTCAGCACGGGGTACTCGTCCAGCAAGTCCTTGGGAACACCTGCATGCAAATAGGTTTCCCGCGCGTCGGCGGCACTGTTACCGCGCATATCTCTCCATGGGGTTTACCCTTATCTGGTCTGTTGCGGGTTTAGTAGTGCGGCTTGGCTTCGGCCCTAAAGTTCTGGATAATGAGGGGTTTATGCACCGAGGGCGATCCCCAAGGATCCCCAGTATTAGTTATTATTCAGTGACAGTTCGGTGGGACATCTACGGGTAGTCCGAATTTGCTGGCGATTGCTGTTGAGTGGTCGGCCGCACCTGCAGCCCCGCCGTTGTTTGCTGTGCAACCACACGGCCCTTTGTTTTGACAGTGTTAATTGCATAAGTAACACAGTAAATTCTTGAGGTAGCAATATTAGCAATCGTCCGCTACCTGCCCGTCCTAGATATAGCTCTTGCCTTCCAGGAGGATGTGACGGCCTAACGTGGAGAGGCCGACGAACACTGAGACGTCACCATACGACAGCTTATCGCCCGCCACGTACTCGCCACAAGTCTCCTGTTAAGCGAGGGATACTAGGATTGCTCACAGTGAGAAGTTATCCAAGCAAAGGATTAAGCGCGGCTATTGGGAATTGGGTCACGTTATTACCTCGGTTGCGTTACCCAGAGAGGTGTAACGGGCCCATAGGTAGAGGCCCAAGACCCTAGAAGCCACAAGCTAGGTAGTGACATAGTACAACGCAAAATTATGGACGTCCAAGCATTAGAACAAGGGAAATAAGGACACTAACATCCATCCTCATCATCCACCAATTCGCGTTGCGCGACATGATCGCGACATAACGGCGTGACACTGTCATAGATGATCGATGTCCTACCGTTGATACCTGCTGGTCTCAATTACTGCTGTGGTTCAGGCATGGATGAAGCAGAAGCAGCACCAGCATCTAGGTAGCAGCAGGCCTGGCGCCAACGCCAACATGCGCGCTGTGGAAGCATATCCAAACTGATACCAGCATTCAGCCGCCCCCGCATTCACCGCTCCAGGAGCAGCTACCCGAGCGAATGCAAGTACCGGTAGGTACTCAGCAGACAAACAGGGCGACACGCGCGGCTTGTATGGTTCACTTCGGGTCGCTGCCGACACCGTCCGAACCACGGCATTGCCCTACAATCCCTAACCCTGCCTCCATCTCCAGTCCCTATGACCTTTGCGGGTGCGATTGATAGACGCACCAGGAGCCCGGACAGCTGCAGCAACTTCTCCTTGGCTTTGGTTGCCAGAATCTCCTGCTGGGCCTTCACCTTCTCCTCCAGCGGCATTTGGAGCGTTGGTGTGAAGAGCTGCGGTCGGAAGGGAAATAGCGGGAGCCACGACACGCAGCGACGTGCATACGTGAAGACAAAGATTCAGCAGTGAGTTCAGCAGTGGAAGGGCGGAGGGGAGGCCGCGGGAGAAACATTCTTTATGCGCCCAACAACATCAACTATGCAACGCGATCACCTGGAAAATGTCGGCCATCTGGAACACTGCCTGGTCCGCCAGTGCCGCCTGCAGCGGGTCGTCCGGGTAGAGCCCGGCTAGCTTGGCGACGTAGCGGTCTGTAAGCGGAAACAAATAAAATGGCAAGGAGGGATCACGCGGGCTCAGCAGGAGCTAACCGCTCCGAGGATGGAAACCGGCAAGATGATGCCATTCAACACGTAGGGTGGAAGGAAGCCAGGAAAGAATACGTGGGCAAAATGGCAAACCGATGTCCCTGCCAGCAGGCGCATACACGCACGGAATGAGGTTGGTACGTGTGATGGGTTCCGGGTCTGACTGCAGCCGGCATATGGCGGGAAAATATTGTACGCCAAATACTGACGTGGACCGAGCAGTTGGCTTGAGGACTAATAATGATGACTTGTGACTGATTGCAGCTTGCAAAGCCTGATCTGCACTATCGAGCTATCGATCCAACTCAGCTGTTGGAGGAGTTGGGATGCCGTCAAGGATGCAGATTGATGCGCGGTCGAGGTTGAGGACGCACCAATGGCGCTGCTCTGTGTCAGCATCCTCCCATCTTCTAGTTCGAGGACCGGGACTTGGCCAAAGGGCATTCTGGGCTTGTGATCTGGCCATTTATTGGCGTCGTAAATGATTTCCTGTGATGGAAACATGGCGCACGTTGGCGGAGCGTTACGTGTTCGGACTTAAGACCGGCGTGTGCGTGTGTGCCTCTGCTGTGGTCGCTAATCGTAAAACGCACCGCGGCCAGATCCTAGCCGAGGAGAACCGAGTCAGGGTCCCACCTTGAAGGGAACCTTGCCGATGGTAAGGCAAAGGGGACAGGTCTCAGCGCGACCAGGCAGCTCGAAGTAATGCAGCTTGAGAGGCATTTCCCGAAACTTGGCTTGCTTTGTTGCTTTTTCGCGATGATCTCAATGCGCTCCAGAAATGATTTGACTTGCTTGAGGGCTTGTGCAATACTGCGGACTATGCACAGATGCGGCGGGTTGGCCTGGAGGACCCTGACCGGCCGCGGCTTGTCGATGTCGACTGCGACTCGAACAAAGATCGCCCTGCAGAGAAAATCAGCAACAACACCTTAAACAATATTTACTTGACATCACTCATCGGAAACTAACAGTCCAACTGAACTGCGTGGGAGTTGCTACCCAAAGTGTTGATTACTAATGCGTCACACTTCCTTGGAGGCGAACACAAACGAATGATGTAATTGTTTATGTAGGCTTTCTCGATGAGATTTAATTTACTGTGGGGAATATAATGCACAGGCAAACATAGGCAAATACTGAAAGAAGAAGGTAGGAAAGTCCCATACCGTAGATACTAAATTGCTTGCTCCCACCTGTACTCCGTCCATTCACTGACCCCAGTATTGCGTCCCCCGTTCAAATCCGTAAAGCTCCTAGACATATGGTAGAGCGCCCACCAGCCAGTCCACCACCAGCGAGCCCATAAAAACCGAATACTTCTTGCACTTCGGTGTACCGTTGCGTCATGAATTGATGGATACAACAGCAGCAGATATACCGAACTTCCTCGAGCGCCTACCGGAGCCCGCGTGGCCAAACAAGCCGTGACGCAAATGACACATTAGGGATGAAGTAGGTAGCCCTCCTTTTTACTACAGCAAGACAGCCTCGCACGCTAATTAAATCCTTCGTGGCGTTGCTAAGCTAATTGAAAAAGGCTACAGTAGCATTAATGCAATATTGCCAACTGCGCGGATTTTTGAGATTCGTGGAAGCGCGGGCCAGCCTCCGGCTATCTATCTGGTCTTTATATCACACACTTCCAGGCGTGTCGTAAGGATGGAGCGGTGCAGTTTCAGGTATCGTTCATGTGGCAAATTGCAGACCAGCGCACCGCTTCCTATTTGCTGAATTGTCACGGCCATTTCTACACTACCACGTTTCCACACAGATTATGAGGTTTGGAAACCGTGTTCGTTTACAGTGTGGGCTTGTGGCACACCAAGTTCGGCGACAGGAGATCGCAGAGGCCCTCTCCAACCTCGAAAGGAGCGGATGGGGGTCACTAGTCCTCCGTTTCCTAAGTTTCTGGGGCACGACGTATGGAAAAAAGCCCTGCAAGGGCTACGTGAGGTAGACGAACGAGTGGAATGGCTAATGAACAGGCCATTGCCGGAAGGTGTGGTATCGGAGTTCAAGGATCGGTTGTTGAGCGGTTGGAACCAATACGGGTCTAGAGGTCCAGCCAGACGTGTACCCGTCAGACGGTAAGCAGCCGGGAATCCACATGGCAAATATAAGCATTGGATGGGTCTGGCAGCTGAGCAAGCGGGCAGGAAGGAGGTGTTCCCGCATGTCACAACATTTATCCCACGTTCAGCGAATGGTAAGCTTATGCAGTTTAGGCTTTGCTGTTGGGCGTTGGCGGCAAACAGAGCGCGCAAGGGACGGTGTTATGTACCTAGGGCGGAGCGGGTATGCCCCTGCTGCGGAAATGATAGCCTTTTTGAAGATGAGAACCACGTCTTGCTGGACTGTCCGGTGTACGACAAAATCAGATCTGATATGGATTTCTCACGCTTATAGGATATGGCGGTGTAGTATCCTGGGTATATCACGGGATCTGTATCTGCCAATCGGTTCTTTTCTGAAAAACAGGAGGACGCACCCCAAACCATGTAAGACACACACACACACACACACACACACGCACACACACACACACACGCACACACACACACACACACACACACACACACACACACACACACACACACACACACACACAGAAGGACGCTATGAAGTGGGAACCTGAACGTCTGATGGGGTGAACGGATTAGGGTGCCCCTCTAGCAAGGGAGAGCAGGGAACTGCCTCGGGAAAGGGGGGCGCTGGTGAAGCTCAACCACCCAGTAACGACATACATACATATATATCACCTATCACACACATAGCGCCGACTCACCGAGTGGCAGGGCGCAAAAGAAGGTGCAATTGACCGTGTTGTGCATTGCGGTGCGGCTATCCAACGATTTCATGAAGGGGTGGCTGTGGGCCGTGCTATCGCCAAGCTTGTATGTACGGCTGCTGAGTCCGTGCCGGGACGCCATGCAGCCCGGAAATCACTGACTGGCCGAGTGCGGAAGGCGTAGGATGCCGAGGCATGGAGGGCCCGAGACGGCTTCCTTCCGAGGGAGGAGTGCAGTATCGGTCGTACAAGACGGCACACACGTAAGCAGCACGCGCCGAAGCGCAATTCCGGAATGTGACAGGCCTTTTCCTGGGTCAGCTGCTACACTGGCCCAGCTCAGATATGCGCAACCATACTAGGGTTGGCGTATCTATTTCTGGACACGCTTCTTGGTCTTGGAATTCTCAGATCAGGACAAGCGGGGAAGAATGTGAGCCAAATGCATGCACTACCGCTTTAACAGCATGGCAGTGTGATCATACAACACGCAGGATGCGACACAGATAGGCTCGCAACGAAACAATTAGTGGCGGCGTGCACGAGCATACAGATCATACTGTATATCAGTCAGCGCCGTGGCGTGCTAAGGGATGGGAAACTGAGCGAGGCGTGTTGCTGCAACTGTTAGGGCCCCCCATTGAATGGTGGATCAAGTTATTGCCTTTCCGATTCTAAAGTTCAGGGAGCCAGGGAGCAGCGAAATTTGCCTCTTCAGTCAGGCCGCCGCTCCAGCGTCCTGGTGAAGTCGTAATTGTACGCTGTGTCATGTATACAATCCAATAAGACGCGCCACAGGTCCTAAGACTTGCAGAGTGAAAATCAAACATGTAAATAAAGCATCCATTGTTGACATTCCTCCAGTCCCCTTCGATTCGCGTGCTAGGTTTAGGTACCGTTGAATGCTTACTAACAAGCGTACGGTGGCAGTTTGACCACAGGAGAGCATTCTATCATACAGAAACTGATTGGGCCACTGGATTTTGACATTGGATATCGGATACTTGAATTGGCTACCATGCTTTGTGCTCAAGGTGCACCCTTTCGTTGCGCTCCGCGGCAAGGTCGATTATGCATTGTCCAAGCAGCTACTAAAGGTTTCGGTGCAAAGCCCAAAGCTGTACCAAAGCCAAAGAAGGACAATCCTGCACCAGAGCCTTGCCCTTGCGACTCAGGAAAGGCGTACAAGGTATGCTGCTTTCCATAACCTAAGTATATACATTAAGCTCAATCTTGTTAAGGCTAACAAAACAATTGGGCGTCTGCGGTCCGCCGCCGCAAGCATCGAAGTCCTTATCGGTGTCCCGCATCCTGTATATGCTGTGGCGCTTATAGCCATCCCGAACGTGCTCAAGAAATTAAAGAAGCATGAAAGAGCTTGCCCGATTCCTGTTGTGTTGCAGAACTGCTGTGGGGCAGTCCATCGCGGAGAAACGGTTGCTGCCACGCCGGAAGCGACGCTCCGTGCCCGCTTCTCCGCGTTCGTGTAGGTAACGAAAATCCAGTGTCCTGCAATGCCTTACTCATTTAGCGCCTTGTTCCTTTATTCTCATCTGCGCTGTTTGCCCTATGTGTGCTCTCTCGCCTTTGTCGGGCACCTAAAGGGCCCAATGGTGTCCTAAGCACGTTCTTGCCGTACTCCTCTGTAGGAAGGGCGAAGCCGATTACCTGATTACTACGACGCACCCTGATTACCACGTGAACCACTACCAGGTTGGTTAACCCTCCATAGCTCCCCGAAAGCCTCCTGGAAGCCTTCCTATGGACGTTGGGCTCCTTTCCCCCAACTCCCCATGGCGCCATCTCTGAGCGGCCCTGGCAAACTCCTCCCCTCTAGGTGCCCATCCCGGGGGGAGCCGTGGAACGCCTCCGTGAGGATGTGGCGGGCGCCTGCAACAAGTTTGCATTCACGGGGCTGCGAGTTGTAGGCGCGGAGCCGGGAGTGAACGAGTATGAGGGGTGAGTACTGATGCAAAACCCTGGACCTTGACAAATGCACGCGAGCTCGTCGCAGTGGCGGCTAAACACGCGAGGCGCCGGGAAGCTATCTGCCAGGGAACGGTGAAAGCTACTTGGACCACAATAGTGAAAGTCAGTCGGTCACAAGGCGGACAAGTAAAGCTAAGCATTCAATACCCAAACCAAAACCAACTGCAGGAACATCTGTTCTTCCCCTACTAAACGGGAAGATTTGTTATATAGCCTAGAGGACCCGGGAACTTATCCGTTTTCATTTCACCAACAATTACCAATGTTGGCGGAATTACCGAGCTGTTACGTGCAAGCACTGTCAACGAGTGCATAGGTCCTATCAGGACCTCTAGGGTAACGCCTTCTTTTGGCTCGCGATCGTAGCCCGAAGTGATGGGGCAGTTCGCGCATCGCAGAGAGGTAACACCTGAGTCTCAACTAAGGCCACAGCACCTACTGCACCTTTCGCGCCATCACGACCCAGTCCCCCATGCCGCCTTGTTCTGTCCCAGGTACGTCTCCTTTGAGTACCTTAGTCGCAAACGTTCGGCACCTGGCGCCCCGGTGACGGAGGAGGAGGTGCGGGACACGACCGCCTGGAGTCGGACCGCGGAGAGGTGCCGGTAGGCTGGCGGGGAATGGGAAAGGGAAGGGGGGGGGGAAGGGAAGGGGAGGGAGGGGGACGGGGGGCCTGCCGCAGGTGTTGCACCTTGAGGGGAGGAGATGAAGCCCACGGAACAATAAGCGACATCCGCGTCACAGCCATATCAGTTGCCAAACACATGGGGGACGGGTCCATCGACTATTGTCTCCTCCTCCAAGCTGTAACCGTCGTCATGTAGCTGGAGGAACGTGTTGGGCAGGATTCTGATGCTTGATGCGGTTGACTTGCGGACAGCACAAGGCATACGCCCAACCAATCTCTCGGCTTGCCACTGTTGACAGCCGGCAAAGGGCTGTCCATGGCAACTACACGTCCCACTGCCCGGCCACTCTTGCAACTGGCGCTCCCACCGCTGACTGCAACCCCCAACACACACGGCCTCGCTGCGGCCTGGCTGCACCGCCGCAGGTTCCTCCGCACCTCCAGTGGTACGTGGCAGTTTGTGGACTATCAGACCGCTACCTTCGATTCCAGCATGCTCGGCGGCCTACAGGAGCAGCAACCAGCTGCGATGTGAGGATGATAACAGCAATAGCAGCAATAGCGAAATGTACGCCAGCCAAAGGCAAGGAGAGCCGTGTCGGGAAACGCCGAGAAGATGGAGTGGGGAAGTTGGGGAGACAGCAGGGTTTTTATTACTTCATTGTAGCAGCCGTCTCCTTTATGGGATTTTGTGGGAATGCCGCTTGGCACAACAAGGGATGTCAGGACTTGCGTTGCGGAGCACCACTGCTAAGAGGAGGTGCTTAGTCTGTGTCTCGTGGCGGTGATGGAGACGGCGGTCGCGGTGGCGGTAGTCGTGGTCGCTCTGTTGGCAGTAGGTTGGCGGGTGAGCACCACCGCCTGGAGCGGGCATGCTGTGTATGACGGCTGTGTGTAATAGCGACGCGTCGGAAGGCGCATTGGGAGACGTGACCGTTACATGAAAACGCAACTGACATGTGGCCGACGCATGGAAAGTCGGTGGGCTGTACAGGTGGGAAATTCAGTTGCATTATCGCTTAAACCTACGTGACCTGCAAAATTTGTATCTCTCAACCTATGTAATTGAGATTGTCACGCATGCGGGTTTAGGAATCTGGTGTCTGTGGCAAGCCGTTTTATTTGCTCATACTAGGATGAGAGCATCGCACACACAAATGTGCTACAGGTGCTACACAAATGTGTGTTATCGAGTACCAATGGAAAATGCAACAAGAGGCATACTCATATTAGCAAATACTCATGCGATTGAGACTCGCTACCTCACCGATGCGTAATTACAACCGGTGCACACAGAATATGATTGTTTCAGAAAATAATATTTGAACGAGGTAGAATAGGCCCCGCTCAACTCACTGCATTCCACGTCAATACCTGCCTAGTTGTCATACGTACGTTCGCATCGTCGACACGTTCATTAACGCGCAAAGCGCAGTTTCTTGCTAAAAGCAGGAGGGAAGAAACCCTTATCGATGCAAGGTAATGCACATCCATCCTGCATGTCATCAGAAAGACCACGAACTGAGCGCCAATACTGCTGCTCCTGTCCATGCGAGCGAAATCCGCCATGGCTTACCCCTCAAGGCCACAAGTGTCCATTTACACCCGCATTTGGCATCCATGCTTGGTCAAATAGTTGCACGTCATGCCAACTATATCGCGGAATCAGGAGGCAGCACAACAAACTAACCCCCGTGATCCCAGCGAACCTAGGACACCAGTAACAGTACGGTACACAGGAACACAGGTGGTCCCTAGATGGAAACACCTCCACAATTGCACCACCCAGGACGCTTTGCTTCCTCGCCACCTTGCCACCAAGGTCCTAACCAGCCGAGTAACCAATCAAGAGACACGCCACTAGTCATTGCTTGGTTCAAGTGTGTACTGGTCGACATAAGATAATGTCAGTATAATGTAAAAGTTCCGCCGCAAGCACCATCACATCGCATCCAATTACAGCGACGCGCATGCTCGCTCTAAGCAACGATCTAGACCAGGCAGTCCATGCCATTGACAGCAGCACCGAACAAAGCCCAGGCATCGTCGTCAGGATTCCAGTATAACAAAAAACGAGCCTAGCCAGCATCACCGCCGCGCACGCTTAGCCGCAGCAGTTGCTTGCCCCTTGGCATCCTGTTTACCACTCTTCGCCGCCGCAGCTTCCTTAGGCCCCTTTTTGGCGGTCGCCGTCTCCTTACCGGAGCCCTTTTGCCCGCCCTTGTCGCTTTGCAACTCCTTTTTGGCTGCTTCCACGGTGCCTTTCCCTGTCGCTGCAACCGGCGCAGCGGACCGCTGGGCCTGCCCAAGAGGCCCAGCTGCCCCTGTTGCTGCAAGCTTCCTCTTTTTCTTCTCCAGCTGCTCGGCACGCTCTCGTTTAGAAGCCTCCTTAGCTTTTAGGTTATTGTACATCTTCCGCGTCTTTCGGGTCATCATAATATCCGCCATTGCAGCTTCCTCATCTTCAGGAACTGCCGTAGACTTCTTTCCTGATCCGTGGGCTGCCTCGGAATCCTTGAGTTGCGCAGTGCGCTTCTTCCGCGGCAGCGTTTCCCCGTCGCCCCCGTCCTCGTCAGTGTCGCTGTCCTCGTCAGCGGGAGTCTCGTTGGCGTCCTCGTCCTGATCTTCATCACCGGAAGCAGTTGGCGCCTCTGGCGCAGCGCGCTTGCGTGACAACCGCACTTCTTTCAACAGCTCAGTGGCGTACACCCTCTCCGCAGCCGCCAAGTCCTCGCCGTCACGGACATTGGCGTCATTACCATCGGCGTTGTCTGCGCCAGCGCCCTCCCCGACAAATTCACTGCCATCAGCGCCCTTGAGGGCAAGGCCGGCGGCGCGTGTGCGAGCAGCACGAGCAGCGTCCTGCAAAAAGGTATACCGTGCAACATAATTGATGTTGCAGGAGGAAATAAATAGTTGCTTTCACAGCAGCGGCAAGCGGCATTAACAAGAATTGGGATGCAGCATATAATCAAGTTGTGGGACCAAGAAGTGACGCTGCCCACCACAATAGGCATGGCAGGCCGGATAGGGTCCGTTCTTATCCTCAGTTGTGATATCACCATCAAGCCACTCCCATAGGTTCGGCTAGATGCGTGCCCATTTGTTACTGAGGGTGTCAAGACCATGGCCAATCACCCAGAAACAGCTCTTACCTGCAGCCTCCGCACTGTCTTAGCAAAATCCGGTGTATAACCATCGTCGTCGCCCTCCCCCACAAACGGCGACAAGTGAGGTGGTGGCACCAGCCCTGGCGCGTACAAGTCTGTTGCCATTAGTACTCGGAAGTTTGCACTGTCAAACACCCACTGCGGCTGGACATACTCCCGAGACAGGAACCGGTGGCCCTGGCGAGGTCGGTCAACAACCTGTACCGGGAACGAAAGTGGGAAACTTAAATCCAGTCGGCAAGCAGCATGAGGATTGCAGACGTTCACATGGGAGAGGTGATCACTGCTGCTCACGCAGCTCAGCTAACCATGCTGCTGGCAGGAAGAATTTGACCCACCTGATGTGTCACCTCCTCGCTCATCTCGCTGTGGGGCGACCCTTCCCCGTCCCAAGCCGCTACGCCACCGAATGACCGGATGATAAGCATGAGCGGTTCGCGGGGCACTTCTCGGCCAAGGAAGAACACCAGTCCGCGGAACAGGTTCCGGCACACGGACCCCTCATCATTGGGGTCCACAGAAGGACCCAGAGCTCCTCCGGCGGCACGTGTCCCAGCGTCCTGGTCGTCAGAAGCAGCGCGACCTACAAGAGGTAGATTGGTTGGTCACAACAGAGACCACAGCAGAAGTGGTCAACACACGTAGTAGAGATCCAGGGCGGACGTGCACCAGCACACATGCACAAATCTTACAAACTTACCCGCAGCTGGGTCATCTTCGTCATCATGGTCGTCATCGTCCTCTCCCAGCAAAGCTACCGCCGCGGCATTCATCCGCCCGCCAGTGCGAGCCGCCGCGTCATGCTTCCCCGATTTGGCATTCGCCGGCCCCTGGTCATCTTCGTCGTCTCCACTGCCCGAGTCGAGGACCGGCGCGTCATCGCCATCGTCGTCTGCCTCGCTGTCCTCCTCATCCTTGTCTTCGGGCTCCGCGCCTTCCTCGCCTTCGTCCTTCTCCTCCACTCCGACAATTTCCCGCAACCGCGACTGAAGGCTCTCAATGCGCGCGCGCATCTTGGCGTCATCGACCGCAGGTGCAGCGTCGCCATTGGCTTCCGTCGCAGCTTTAGCCTCTAGCGCTCGATCCCCTTCGGCCACGTCACGCACGCCAGCGATGTCCTGCAAGCACGAGACAAGATTAATTAATATCTTCATGGCTGACAACAATCAAACGATGCAGACCGTTGCACGAAGAGTCTAGTGACGAGTAGACCAGCCTAGTGGCCGAGCATACGAACACAAAAAACAATTAGAGGACCAACTGAAGATTCACCTTCATGATTCCGGCCAGCTCCGCAGCTGCCTCCTCCAGCCGGGGATCCAGGAGAGGTGGGTAGCGCAGCTGTGGATGGGCAAGAGACACAAAGACCGGGGGGAATGAAAATCATTTCCGGTACAGGAACAAAAGCCCACTCGATGTGTCCATGCTGACCCAGCTAATCAGTCGATATACATCTCTTGTGTCAGTGTAACTATGACTTTAAACTGTAAATTCATCAGGAGCTGCTGTTTCCAGAAACTGGAAACTTGCGCAGCTCAGGACATAAGTTATCATCACCCACAAGAGAGAGGCACGATCTGACTGCCAACCTGGACTGGATTGTGCAAGGGCAAATATGGACAGATGGGGTTTCCGGCACAGACGAGTAATTTGAAGATCGTTGCAGCAATAATAAGACAATCAACGGCCGCTTGCACGAAACCAGAAGACCCACGTTCTGCTCAAATAGAAAAGGGCTCTATCGATACAGCCATGACGGCGACACATTAGATGGCAACCCACCCCAAGGACGTGGTAGAGCTTGAAATTGACGAACTGCAGCAATGTATTGTAAAACTCCAAGAAGGTGAGCATCACCTTGTAGTCCACGTCCGTAGGCAATACCTGCACATTATCCGAAAGCTTCAATGATTACGTTGGTGCGCATGGCGTGCAGCGTTCATTTGTCATGCGACTAGCATAGCGGAACATTAACTTATACACCCACGGTTGCTTATCCACGGTTGCATTGTCGCTACGCGCGCAAGCCTACCACGTCCAGACCCACCTGCGACAGCGCATGCGGCACCAGCCAGGTGACGCTCTGCCCCAGCACCTCCGCCTGGAAATAGTAACCCTTGACGCTGACGAAGACGCGCCGAAGGGAACCGCTGCGGACAATATACGCTTGCCACTCCAGGGCCAAGCGGCGTGACGTGTGAACTGCCTGGATGTGGAATGATGGGGAGCAGGATGGGGTCAAGATTCTAGGTTCGGTAAGCACACCATCGGACAGGCATGTACTTGGAACATGTGGAAGGCCCGCAGAAATACGGTCCTAAAGGTGGGCTGGCTGCAGCGGCCGTTGGGTCAAGCGTAAGGCTTAAGGCACTAGCGTGCTGCACCTTGGGTGGGATGTCGTACTTGCTCTCGGCGGGCAGGGTTGCGAACAAGTGCACCATGGTAAGGGCATCGTCCAGATCTCGAAGCGCATCCACGAAAGATGGATACCTGCAACATGTCAGGGAGGGTAGGCGAGGAATGAACGGGTGATGGATTCAAGTCCCGCTGACCAGATGGTGAGTATTAGGAACCCAAAAGAGACAGAAGGACGATATAGTTCATCAATAGAACAATTAGAACGCCAAAATTCAGAATTCCCGCACTTCCCCTCACCTTTCCTTCACCAGATGATCTAGTCGGTACGTGGGTTTCAGATGCATAAGACGCTTCGCTAAGTCCGCATTTTGCTTGGCGCGCGCCTTGCGCACTTTCTTCTCATGGGCCTTAATATTCCTGGGGTGGTGCAAGGGAGGAACAGGGAAGGCAAGCGCAAGCTCATACGCAGGACAAGAACCAAGGCAACCAACTGCAACTACCCCTTGCAGCTCCAGGCGAGTAGACATCTGAAGCAACATAGAATGTAGCTTCAACAACCGCAGCCGCCACTGGCAATTGCAGCACCACAGCCGCCAACTTGCAGCCGCCTTTGAAGGATGAATTGAGGCCAACTAGCTCACCTGAAAGTGTTAAGGAGCGGCTCATGAGCAAGCCAGTTAATGTCCTTTGCATGGTAATAGGTCTTGTTAGCTCCCTTTGGTTTCTTTTTAGGCTCGCGGGGGTGAACGCCCTTTAAGATGCACAAGCGCCTGCACGAATTGGAAGTCCGCGACCAGCAAGACTAAAGTAAGCGATTCAAGTTGAGTACATTACTGAGAAACCAGGCGGACAATCCCGTGAACAAGTTAAAGCAGTGCAAGGGAAAGCGACAGCTCTTGCCCACCTGAACTCTGATAACCGCAGTTGAAGCTTTCGGACTGCTTGCGTACGCGTTATGTATTGAGCGGCATTGCCCGCCTTGCCCTGCGCAGAGAGTGCATTTGCTCCCGTTCAGACAACGCCGCCGCCAGGCCAAGCATATCAGCGCCGTCCATCCTCATAAAAACTGTTTCTAATCGCACCTTCTTAAGTTTCTTGCCCATCGTGACCTCGCCGGGGCAGGCGGCGCCACCGTCCCGTTAAGCTTGCGATGGGACTGCCAATTCAAGCGGATAGGCCACGATGCTCAGAGACTCAAACCAAAACTTACTATTCAGAAGTGACTTCAAGTGCATACATGCGAATAGCTCGGTAATGTTGCGGCCCGCTTTTTATGCGTTCCGTATTGGGCCCCTCGTTGCATGGGACGAAACTCTGAATGGTGTGGACAGACCTGCGTAGGTGTTGATGGTATGTTATGCAAGGTTATCATTGCTGCATTTTTTTGTTGGTCCAAGTGCTTTGTGAAAGGGACATCAACAAGCTAGGGTCTCTCAATTTTGTTCTCTCAGGTGTGGAACTTTGTACATGTGTCCATAGGTATTCCTCGGTTCTGATTACTTCTGTCAGCTACCGGACGTGCGCCAGAGCAGGGCGGCGATGGCGCCAACCGCGACAGCTGCTGCCTCGCCCATGGCCTCTGCCTTAGCAGTGCTGGCTTCATGCAATCTCAAGGAGCTACACCTCAAGCGGGCTGACGGCAGTCGCATCCTGGACACGCTGCACGCAACCTGCCGCGCTGCGGGGCTCATCCCCCCCGGCACACCCGACGGCACCCCGCGGGAACGCTATATGGCCGTCTTTGACGCGGCCCTGAACGGCGGCCTTGGCTGCTGGATACTGGATTACGTCGAAGTGGTTTGCGCCGACCGACACCTTACCTCCAACGATCCCTTGGAGGTCTACCTTTTGGACGGCGGGTTCGTCAAAGCCTGGGCGCAAACCTTCCTGCAGCGCGCCGAGCAGGCAGCGACCTCCGCATTGATCAGCGATTCCTCCTTCCACTCCTTTCAGTCCAACCAGCTGCAACAGCTGCTTGCACAGACACGCGTCCTCGTGTCCGTACTGCGCTCGCTGGATCGCATCCGCGCCGTGGCGGCAGGCGGCACGACGGCCCTGGCCGCAGCAGCTGCGTCAGGGCCAGCAGCTGCTGCCGTACAGGACAGGTGGGAACCAGGCCAGGTCGCCGGGCGCCCTATGCCGACAGCCCTGTTAACTTAGGGTAACCCCATGCGCACCCACTGACACTCTAACCAGCGCCAAGCCTTGTCAACGTCGGCCATTTCCTAGTTGAGACTTCTGCCTTCGTCCGTCCGTTCATCATATTTTAACTTCTCACCGCTGCACCGCTGCCCAGAGCCCTACGTTCCACCCTTACAGACAGATACATAGACCTTTCCCTTGTGGTGCTTCCCCTCCCCCGTGCTCCCGACTTCCTTCGTCGTGCCCCCAGATACTCGGTGAAGTCGGAGCTGAAGCAGGCGGTGCTACTGGAGCAGGCCTTCCAGGTGAGGCCTTCCGCGGGGCAGCACACGGGGCAGCCCGTCACGCGGTGGTGTGGACGTGGTGCGGAGTTGCTTTAGCCAACTGAGCCTTGGGCGGAACTGGCGTGGATGGCACGCGCGAGGAGTACCGGTACATTTTTTAACATGTCTATTGTATCCACTCGCACCCACACTCCAGAAAAGGACATCCCCGTTTACATCCCATGTGTGTACAGGTGATGGACTGGTGCTCCAGGCAGGGTCTTGCGGGCCCCCGGGGCGCCCCGGGCCGCTTCGCCTCCTACGCGGAGTGGTCCCGGGCGGTGACTGCACGGAGGTCCCGGGCAGCCCCCAGGCCGCTGTTCCTGGACTCCCTGCTGCAGGTGCGGCGAGGAAGAGGCGGGGAAAGGGGGAGGCAGGGGGCCAGAGGAAGCAAAGCAGGCAACGAACGAGGAACCAGGGGGCCATCGGGGGAATATGTATGTGGAGGGGTCAAGGATAAACATGCGGGAGACATCCAACGGAGGAGGGATGGAGAGGAGATTGCCGTTCATGGCCCATTGCCGGCCGCAAGCTGCCCAACCTTGACCTCGAGGCCTGGGTGATGTAACCTAAAACCCACCCACCCACCCACCTCCGTGGCCCCCTTTTTTCGCAGTCGCTATCGCTATCTGGCGCCTACCCCTCCGCCTCCATACCCCACATGCTCCACACGCTGCTGCTGGTCGTAAAGGACGTGGATCCAGCCACGTGGGCCTCAAAACTGGCGTTGCTGTCGTATTACCTGATGGATGCGGGCGTCCTCGATGGCGCCGATGTCTCCGCGGGGGCTGGTGGCGGCGGCAGTGGAGTCACTCCCCGGTTAGAGGCCGCTCTGGGGGACTTGCGGAGGACATTTCGGTTGTCAGCCGGGGATGTGGGCGTGTGGCAGTGCTATTACCTGCTGGACTGCACATCCCCAGGTACGACGGTTCTCTCACATTGCATGGAAGCTATGTGTCGTGATGAAGGGAAGGCAAGCGTGCTTCGGCCAGGAGGGGGGTTTGGTTTGGTTTTCGGTTGGTTTTGGGGGTGGCGGAGTTAAGAGGGGGAGTGTTTGGGGAATTGGGGGGGGCGGATGCCGTGCATGTGCAGCTGCAGGGGGAAAATGAGGATTATGTAGCGAGTGTCCTGATAAGGCCGGGAGATGGGGAAAGGAGGCGCGGTGGATTTGAATTTGTTTGCCAACAATGGTGCGGCGGCTGCCATTGCAACCGCTGTTGCTACTGATGGTTTTGCTGACCACTGCGATGTGTCTGGGGCCCTCCCACACTCTCCGTTGCTCCTTGCGTATGATTCCCACATCCCTCAAACCCCCAGCCCAACCTCCCCCTCCTCCTCCCCCCCCCACCAAACACACACACACACAGCAACCCCCGGGTCTGAGGACCCCTACCTGGCCCGCGCCTGTGCCCTGCTGCCCGCGTACGTGTCAGAGAACACTCCCTTCGCCTTTGTTGAGGTGAGGATGGGTGGTGGCTGCGGTCCAGGCGAGTGGCAGAGGCAGGCAGGCGGCTGTGGGGCCTGTGTGTGTGTGTGCGTGTGTGCGTGTTGACAAATGGCCGATGGTGTGTGGGGCCTGAGTGGTGCTCGGCCATCCGCACATCTCTTGACCTACGGAGGCCCCGTGGCGGCCCACGTCCCCTCGCCCTGAACTGTACTTACTGCTCGCGGACGTAGTAGTAGTTGTTGTTGTAGGTATTACAGCGAGCTCCAGACCCCAAGGGAATATTTCCCCCCCCCCTAGGGTAGTAGGGGGGCCATCGGGGGCCATAACGGACAGCCGTGCACTGCCCCACCCCGTATCCCCCAGGCTCTACTGGCACTCGGTCGGCCCGATGTGGCGCTGGCAGTGGACCGGGGGCAGTTCGGAGCGGCGGGAGGAGGAGGAGGAGGAGGAGGAGGTGGGGGGTTGACGGCAGCAGCAGCTGTGACAGGCGCGGGTGATTCAGGAGCCACTGGCGCCTCTGCCTCCTCCGGACGCAATTGCGGCTCGCTGTCCCAGGCCATGACGCTGCTGGAGGTCCGACTCAGGTTGGACACAGCTGGACTGCCTGACTGGCTGAATGACAACCACCACTGCACACACACACACACGCGCGCGTGCGCGCACCCTTCGGTTTGGACCCGGGATTACCACAGCCCACACCCACCCTTTGCTTCTTGCATCACCATCATCATCTACACATCCCCTAAAGTTCTTCCCCTTCGACACCAGCATCGTCAGTAGCTATCGAACACCAGCATCAACACCCGCATCAACACCAGCAGCAGCATCGTATGATTCCCACCCCTCCTGGTCATGGTTGTGGTTGTGTGTGGCCGTCCTCATGTTGCAGGTGCGGTCTCATGACGGAGGCCTTCATGTCGCTGAGGCAGCACACGGCGGACCTGGCGGCGCGGGGGGAGCCCCTGGAGCGGCTCAGAGAGCACACCAGGGAGCTGATCAGGAGGCTGGCGGGCTGGGCGGCGGAAGGGGACGTAGCGGCGGCTACGGAAGCGGCGGGTGGTGGAGGTGGAGGCTGTGGTTGGCTCAATCGCCTGACGGAGCTGCCCCTTGATGCGAACGGTGGGTGCCAACTAGGTGGCGAACTGTGATGTGGCCACCGGGGCCCCTTGTAGGACTCTTGTTTCCTGAGCCTTGAGGGTTCGGTGCGCTGCCGGTACGTTGGGTTGGGCACCCGCAGGCGTACCACCATCTGTATCACCGCAGAGACGACGGGTCCCCCTCCGGGGGGGGTGTTAGCATGTCTGCAGAACTCATGGCGTGCTTGCGCGCCCCTCGCACTGCCTGTCTCTCGCTCGCTGCCTGTCTCGGTGTGAGGTCTGATTGGCGGTCCGTGTCGAAATGGCGGTGGTCCTCCTCACCCCTCGCTCTCTGAGGCTGAGGGCTTCCGTGATTAGCGGGAGTCACCCGGTCATCATTGCTTTGGATTCCAACAGCAGCTGATGCCCTTAGGACGCGTCGGCAGTACTGATAATACTTACCTTCTTGTACACCATATGAGTGATTCACTTGGCCCCTCTTCCCCGTCCCTGCATCCTCTGTCTCTCCCCCCCACCCCTTCTCCCCTCCACGCCCCCCTCCATGTCCCTCCACACCACGCCCCGGTCGCAGAGGAGTTCGTGTTGGTGGAGTGGCTCACGGAGCAGGCGGAGGCGGGGCGCACCGCGGGGGCCTTCCTGCCGCTGTTCTTCCTGCAGAGAGGCAGGGTCAGCGAGGCGACGGCGGCGTGGAGAAAGTGAGTTACAAGTTACAAGTTCCGCACACAAGTGGGGGTGTGTCCGTGAGTGGTGGAGGATGGTGCATGGCGTGGGAGGCTGCCATTTTGCAGGCAGCCGGGTTGGAAGGTTCATTGCCAAGAGGAGGGCAATTGGGACGGGCCAGGGATGAATGAAAAGACGGCTGCATTTCCGTCCCTGTTTCGCTTCCCAATCCTCCCAACTCTCCCAATCTCTAACGCAGCACCAATTCCCCAAAACCTGCACACACAGATGGTCTGCTCGCCAGGACGTTCTTGCCAGCGCTGGCGGCCGGGCCCCCTCCGTGCCCTCCGCGCTGCTGACCGAGCTGGTGTCAGCCGCCCTGGATGCCGAACACGAGGCTGCACTGCCCGTACCGCTGCGGAACGTCCAGGTGGTGGCACCTGACCCCTCAGCCGGTGCTGTCGCCGCGACGGCGCCGCTGACAGACCTGGCACCGGGTCAGGTGTGTGGGTCGGTGGGTCGGCAGGGCAGAGGCGGCAGAGGACCTTGGGGTGGGGAGGGCAGAGAATAGGGTTGTGGGTGGCAAAGGGGAGGGAGGGGCCATGCAGGGGTTAGCGGCGGACTTTGCGGAGGAGGGGTGAAGGTAGTTACGGACATTGCCTAAACTGAGGGACACAGCCACAGGCCTAAACCGTTTCCCAACCAACCCCCAACTACCAGGGTGCCGTATCGATCCTGGCGGGCCTGGTGAGTCAGACTGCCCCCGACCAGCCATTGGCAATACTGCCGTTCCACGGTACGGAGCCCCCCCCGCTCATTACACGCGTCGTACAACCGCCGGCGACGATGTCTTCGGTAGAGACGCTGACGCTGACGCCGGGCGGCGTCAACATAGCCGGCAGCGGCTTGTGCGGGAGCGATGTATTCACGCAGCCGACGCAACAGCAGCAGCAACAGCAGCAACAACAACAACAATCGCATGCGCCATTCGCGGCGATGCCCCTCCTGCTGCCCAGTACGGCACCATTCCACACGCCCCCAGCCACGCCTGGCCCAGACGTGCAGGGGTTGTACGGGTCCACGCAGCTACTTGGTGGCGGTGGCGGCGGCGGCGGTGCTCTCGGGCCTCTTGGGACCGTCCACGGCGGCGGTGGTGGCGGTGGCAGTCTGCTCTTCAGTGTCGGCACTGGCGCCGGAGGAGGCGAGCGACCGCCAGCTGGCCATACCGCTGGCGGCGTCGGGGTCGGCTTCGGTGCTCGGGCTTTACGGAGCTTCAAGCGCTCTAAGCCCAACGACTGGCTATAGCACCGTACTGAGCCGTACTGAGCCGTACTGAGCCGCATATGTCCACATCACATTAACATGACATGACATCACATCGCATAACACCTCAAGCTGTCATGGCATATCGCTTTCTTGACAAGCAACTGGAGCACGAGGTTGGTTGTAGCGCTGCTACATTGCACGTACATACGCACGTCACACGGAACCGCCATGTCATCAGGAAGTGGGGTTCAGCGGGGGTTGTCAAGTGACAGGTGACATGATGGACAGAGGCGGTGCCATCGCAAGACACATCTCCACCACCCACCACCCGCCCTGGAATTTGACCTAGCTGTGCTTGTGGGGCGTGGGGGTGGCGGGGGTGGTATTAGGTATCTATTAGATGGTCGCGGTGCTGTGGTGAGTCACGCAGATGGACAGACAGACAGACGGACGGACGGGTGCGGTCACAATGACGTATGACGCGATAAAATATATGACGCTTACGGGGAGCCTGATGGCCAATGCCGCCTGATGGATGACGTGGGGGCCTCGAGAGCAGGCAGGGCTGTAACCAAGACCTGTGCTGGCGTCTGCCTTGAAGGCGGGTTGCCCCTACCTGTATTAGCCCCTCTTTCTCCCCTTCCTTTTGTCATATATTATTGTGGCAAGGATGTCGTACTGTACGGTGCCATGGCGTACCCGTCGCCGTGCCTCCGGGCTGCGACCTGGGTCGTGCAACCGCAACCACAACCGCAACCCGGCGTGAACAGTTGAGCGGTGGGGACTTCCGCCTAGGCGGCCGGACACGGGGTCCCAGGAAAGGGAAGGGAAGGGCGTCGGGAGGTAACCTGGACTGAGTAACAGGATGAGGCTCCCACATGCTTCCTTTGAAGTCGGAAATGTGGGCGGAGGAAATGGGAGGACCAAGCTGTGCTGGGCACTTTAGGTGCGTGGCAGCAGATCTCGGTGATTCGATCTCCAACTGACGATTATGCATCATTTCATATCCCGGTTGCTCAAGCTCAGCGCGTTTCCGATTGTGGTTGAGACGATTGTTGGGTTGGGCTTGAAGCAAAAAACATTTTCACGTGCAGCATAATAGTAGCATAGGCCGCCAACATAAACAGCAACACCACAAAACACTCACCGCCCTACACGTCCCTGCTAGCAGAGTAAGCCTACTATGCGGCGCTCCCCCTAGGGATTTAACGGTACCGCCTGATGCGGCTACAACCAGCACTTGATTGACATGTGGCAGCAATTCCGTAAGCAACGATGTGGCATGTGCGGAATGTGGACAACGGGCCGTCGACATGTACCGTACAACAAGAATGGCCAGGCCGGCATAAGCGAGACATTTTGTGAAATGCGGCATGGAAGCACATCCATCCAGTAATATACTAATCGCCCCCACCACTCGTGCATCCATCCAAGACCCCTACTTGCTACTAGCTTCAAACCTCTGTGGGCGCCCTTCACGTGTTCGAAATGAGGGTACGTTTGCGCACCCAGGCATCCAAGCGCGCCATACCTTGTGTTGTTTTACCTTAGCGTGCTCCAGCTCGAACCCTCACCTGGACTCACCCGGGTTTCGAACTGCGCGTGCTCCAAAGAATTATAACAAACGGACGAAAGAATGGCACGCCATTGTCCCCTGGCTCTGGTGGTCGGGAACCCGGCCGTGGGGTCGGGAAGTGCGGAAGTGGCCATTCCTACCCCTGATACTCCCCCCCCCCAACAATGTACAGCCCTCCAACTACCGCACACATGCAACGACCCATGGGTCAGGTGAGCTCCTGCTCCACGAAGGAGATCTAGACTGACGGCATAGGCTGACGCGCGGCTAATATGTGACCGCAGGCCCATCCCTGGCTTGTACGCGACCAACGACGTCGTTATGTACACCTAGAGTAGTAGATACAGGGCACCGGCCTGGGAGAGGCTGGCGAACCGCACGGACACATACGGATGTCCTGCTGGGGATCGATTACCAAGTCCATGAGTGACTATGAAACGAGTGGCATTGAAAACACGAAAATCCAACATGACGATGACATCGCGCAGCGATCTAGTTGCCGGCCGTAATGCCACCAACAGCCACCAACAGCGACAACAGAACGTACGACGGAACCAGACGATGTCTCCCGAGTTCTTTCCTTCAACTAACACTTATGCACGGCAGCAAGGTCACTCCCGGTAGCCCCCGACTGCGGGCAACACCAGCGGATGCCAGCAATAGGGGATAACGGGCATTGGTGCCGTCTCCAATTTACGAACGACGTCGCCAACTTGGGAGGTGGAGCCCGTAGCACCCGCGCGCTTGCTGCGTGACAGGGCCACGTGCAGAGGAAAGCATGTTCCCTATGGAGGCGGGCCCTCAACAGCACCCTATGCCGGTAGGGGTAAACTCTCTGTGTCTTGTTCAAATACCAGGAACCGAAACACAGAGGCCCGGAAGCCTCGCCAGTCCGCTGGAGGCTGTACGGCTGTACGACTGGCCGACTGGTTTGATCCTCCTTTGACGAACATGGCGCCTGTGTATCGGTTCATCCCCTACTCCTTCATCACCGTCGCATCTTGTGCGGCCGGAGTCATGTACGGCCGCTGCCATGTCATCACAGGAGAGTATTTGTAAGCATTCAATTACGACGTATTGGGTTATCTTCCTCGGCTAGCTAGGTTGGGAATGGGGGACCCCGGGAAGGGGAGCTAGTGCATATGAGCATACATGCAATGGCATCGAGGAATCCGCATGGAGGAATCCGCATGGAGGAATCCGCATGGAGGCGTCCAGTGCCTCAGGCTCGCACGGCGGCTTGTTCAACGGCTATCAGGCGCGTTCGGCTTCAACGCGCGCACGGTGGTTGTTTTGAGGCTCTGCCGAGCACGGCGCCTGTTTCGAGGCTTTTAGGCGCGCACGAGGCCTTAGATAGTGAGCGCCCATGGTGCTGGGGCCTCGCCCCTGGTGCTGGGGGGCGTGAGAAGGGCAGCCGTCGGTGTGGGGCGTGAGAGGCCGTAGCCCTTGGTGCGGGCCCGTGGCTCAGAGTTGGTCCGGGGCGTGAGAAGGGACAGCCCTTGGTGAAGGGAGGTCCTGATTGGTTGTTGGGTATCACCGCGCGTGGGAGACCAGCCAGGCAAAGCGCAATGGATCAGTGCTCATCGTACGGCATGGGACCCGGTCCACCCCGTGGGGGTTTCAGTGGGTTCAAATTCCACACTGACTAGGAACGTGGTTTCGTACTGCCTATGCCATGCCTTTGCCTGGGTCAAAGAACGTCCGGCTTGTACACTCGGAACGTGGACTCATGCATTAGCCCCACAATAATCTGGTGGGAGGTAATTAGACTCCCCGGGCTGTGTTGGGTTGCTCCAGGTTCGACATGCTTGCTGTGTCGACCACACTCTCACTGTCACGCAGCAAAGCCTCCTTGCTGTACATTCTCGACGCGTCATCAAATGCCCCGCTGGCAAAGAAAGCGCGGCGCCGTGGCTGGAATTCCACATGACCCCAATCCAACGGGGACCATAGTGTCCCTTTTGTTGTGCGAAGGGCAAATCGTAACGGTCAAATCGAAGATCGTCGAAGATCGGGTAACCGCTGCTGGAGTGCAGATCTTGTGGCGCAGTGAGTAGCAGAAGTACCAGCAAGAGGAGTACTAGTAGCAATGATAGCAACAGTAACAACACTCGGGCGCCCGCACTCCAGTGGCAAGCAAGTCGCTACAGCAGACATTAATCCACATGCGTTTCCATCACTTCGCGTTCGTAGCCCCAGCTCGTCACACAGCCCTGCAAACAGCCATGCAAGTTTGCGCCTGATGGACTACAACCGTCCATTCGGCAGTACAACACCTGCCCCATCGACTACCTGCTCATCCAGCGGATAGCCTACTGCCCGCTCTTGCAAGGCCAGAAGGCACAGAGCAGATGCACGATGGCAAGGTGTTACGCGCGGGGTAACAACTCTGAACGGCCGTGAAAGGAGGCTGTTATTGCACCGCGGCGCACAAGCACAGACGAGACCCTCACCCCCCAGAGCCACTCGCGGCCTCTTTTATCAGGGCCTCCCGAGTAAACTCGCGTCATCCCAAGTACCTTTAGCTCGGGCGCCTCTCGCTCCGCCATTCCGGGGCCTCTCCGCCCGCCCCTCACCTTCAGCCCCGGTCTGTAAACCTACAAAGCCCCACCGCCTGGCCTCGTGTTGCAGACCATGCTGTATCCCCGCAGTAACATAAAATGGATCTTACGAGAGCTCTACCGGACACCAGCAGGCAGCAGTTCCCAAGAATACAAAGAACCTGGGTACATGAATGAACTCCTAGGAAAAACCTCCTCGTAAAGCGGAACTGCAAACATACCCTGCGACATCCGCCACCATGCCCGGGCCAGCACGCTTCTGTGTCTTCACTCTGCACTCCTCTATACCCTCCCCCCTACCCTGTTGCGGACAGCTGCCGCCTTTCTTCTCCCCTTCCCCCAATTTCAACTGGATCCACTAGACCCCAGACCAGCTGAATCGGCAAGGTCCTCGCTTTGCTACCTTTCTCGTACCTAGCAGAGAGCACTCCGAACAGTCCGAACAGTCCGAAACATCTTGTGGTAGCACGAACAAACAAAGCGCACATTTCGAATACACTGTGGATATTCCATTTCCGATTATAAGAGGAAAAGCTAAACCTACAACAAAACGCCTTCTGCACAACGCCTCCTGCCGTGGGCACACCTTTTCAGCCCCACGCACCCTGTAAGAGCCTCCCCGACTGCAACCCCCCAAACTTAACTTCCATGTGCTTACCTCTCCCCTCCTGTCAAAACACGCATCTGGAACACACCGCTCGTACCTCACTCCCTCCTCCTCAGTTCCATGGCATCACCCACTCTACACGTCGGTACCACGCAGCCGGACATTGCTCAGCCGGTCGCGGCGAGCCGCGGTCAGGCCAACCATGCTACCGGAGCCGGCGCCGCCGCTGCCGTTAACGCCAGCGGGTGCAGTACCGGGCCCCTGCCCCGATCTCCCTGACCCTCCCAATCGCAGCACCCACACCGCCAGGAGCAACACCATCAGCGCCAAACAGCCCAACAACATCAACACCTGCAACCCGGTCAGACCCAGCAACAGCGCCGACCCTTGCGGTGCCGTACCGTCAGGGTGGACGAGCAACACCGTTCCGCTGCCGCCTCCGCTGCCGCGGCGGCCTCCGCTGCCATCCGCGCCATTGCCACCGCCAGCGACCTTCAGCACCAAGTCAAGCGGCGTTGAGTCGCCGCCATCTACCGCCGCCGCCGCTGCGGCAGCGGGTTCGGCGGCCTGGCGGCTGAGGGTCTCGTTGCCACTCTCCAAAAGGTCCTGTGAGTGAAGGAGGGAGGGGGGGAGGGAAAGACGAACCACGAACGAGTGAAGCTGCTGCCAGGGCAAGCGTGTACCAGACGTAGAACTGACCAAAAGGGAAGGGGGGAGAGAGGAGGAAGGATGGATGGATGGATGGATGGATGGAGAGGGTTCACCAGTGGAACTGGCGGCACAGGTCACCCAACAACCTCACCTCGGTGGGGACTATTGTGCACATGGCGCTCAGGTGCCAGTGGACAGTCGCGGACTGCAGCATTCAAGAGGCACTGGAGGGCAACCTCTTGACGCCTCCTCCCGACCGCCCTTCTTCTCGCCCCCCCTTGTGATGATGTTCCCCAGGACGGGAGAGCCCCGCTCAAGTCGGCGATGGCGACTTCCTCCCGTCGGACACACAGACACCTGATACACACCTACCTTGCAGCCCGGGTCGTACGGCATCTTCACGCAGGCCGCGTTGGGGAAGCACGTGGGTTTCGGGTGGCTCAGCACGTACGACACCTCGGTGAAGTTGTACTCGGCGGGCGGGCGCCGGCTGGGTGGCGTGAAGTTGTACAGCGGCGTCACGTACGGCGTACTGAGCTTTACCTGTCCCAAGGAACGTGCCAAGGGCGGTATGAGCAGGAGGAGGAGGCGGGGGAGAAGGCGCGGTGCAACACGGTTGAGAGGGAGAGTGTGTGTGTGTGTGTGTGTGTGTGTGTGTGTGGTGGGGGAAGAGATACCCCCGCTGCATCCCTGCTTACCTTACCTGGCAGCCCTCCTGCTTCCCGAATGAGGCACTCATGGTGACGACACAAGGTGACCACCAACCACCCCGAAAAGCCCTTCAGACCTCAACCGCCTGACGCGCTTTGCTCCTGTGCCGCCTCGAGTCCCCATCAAACAACATCGCCGTGATAAATGCATTTCAAATATATTGTTTTGCTACAACACACCCCGACATATTCCCCTCATCTCTTCTTCTCCTCCCACCCCCACATCCCACCGAGTCGTCCAGCAGCCCCTGCCCCTCCTGCAGGTCCCCCTGCAGCCGGGCCAGCAGCCGCAGCACCAGGTCGTAGCAGTTGTGGCTCATGTGGGAGCGGTCAAGGCAGTTGGAGTCGGAGAACACCACCACGTGGCCACCAGACGACCCGTGGGTCACTCCAGCCAGGTAGCCGTGATGGCCGCTACCGGAGCCGCCGCGGCGAACAGCGTGGTTCAGGGAGGCCTGCGTGATGCCAGTCAGGTCGGGCCGGACCGCGGTCGGTCAGCCGGCAAACGGAACCACAGATTACCACAGATTTGTGTAACGTGTATTGGCACCCTTGCTCTTCATGCGGCTCATCATAGGCAGGCAGGCAGGCAGGCAGGCAGGCAAGCAGGCGGCACTGCCCCGCGTGGTCCGGTGCTCGGGCGGTGTGCAACAAGGCGCATGCCGCCGCGTACGGCACTAGTACTGTCGTACCTTGTGCAGCCAACCCCCTTGGGGCACCTTGGCGATGTCGGACCCGAAACTGATGACCAGCCGCATACCTGGTTGGGGGGGGGGAGGGGGGGGGAGGGGGGGATATTAGGGAGGTGTGGAGGTGTATACGCAGGGACGTGTGTAAAGGTGGGCAGATGGGAGAGGGGAGAGAGGGTTGAGGGAAAAGCGTAACAACGTAATTCACGCGTGGGGTCATCGGCGGCGCGCTCATACACACACATACATACACATACGCATACATGCAATACATGCATACATACATACATATGTATACATACATACATAAACTGTGTCTCATTTTGGCGTTAGCGTTTCCCCCCTCAACTCAACGGCCACAGACTGAAAAGTACAGACAGATAGACAGACATCCACACACAGAGCGAGATCACAGGGGACTAATAAACTCGATACAGTGCATACAGGCGATAGAAAGGAGTGATCAGATCACGGGGGCGCCCAGGTGGTTGGGGCCCACGGCTATCCGCGGCGGATGCTGGGCCCCATGATGGGTCACCCACCCGCGGAGCCCCGCATGCACCCCCCCGCGTGCGCGCACGGATCAACACTCAGGCACTCGTGGCACCCGGCCGGCTCACCCAGCGACGCACCACCACACGTCCCACATCCGGGCCCCGGGAGAAGGGACAAGACAAAGCCTCAATACCCCCCCGGGGACAGCAACCCCCCACCCCCCAGCTGCTCCACCTCTCCCACCCGCGCCCAAAGGCCCCGGAAGGCCCCGTCATCGTCATGATGACCCCCATCCCACCCGCCCACCTGCAAGATTGGCCATCCCATGTACGACAGCATCCCCCAGCGCTATGCCGTACGGTTCCAGCAGGTCATTGAGTGCGGGTACGTTGGCTCCCCCCGTGGCGGGGTTCCACCAGCGGCGAGTGTTGTCGTCGAAGAAGCGCATCTGTGCAGCGGGGGGGGGGGTGCGGCATGTGCGACCGTCCGTGAGGGTGGGTGTGCATACATCTGGAACACGAGGGGTGGAATATCGCTCACAACACGCCATAACAACACAACGCCTGCGTGTGCACGCATGTGTGTATGTGTATGTGTATGTGTATGTGTATGTGTATGTGTATGTGTATGTGTATGTGTATGTGTATGTGTATGTGTATGTGTATGTGTATGTGTATGTGTATGTATATGTGTATGTGTATGTGTATGTGTATGTACATAAGGGGTAGAGGGAGATGAGGTGTGCAACTGCGAGCATGCCAGGTATCACCGGCTGCTCGCCCAGGCCCACCCTTTTCCTCAGGCCCCCCTTCCCCCCCGACCGATAACTACACACACACACACACACACCGATGTCCCTGCCCCCCCCCTCCCCCCCCCACCTGATCCAAGGAGGCCAGGTTGTACCAGTCCGCAAACACCAGCAAGTTCAGTCCGTACTCGGACACCGCCTCATGCAGCGCAGTCACCTCCTCGGGGTACCACTCCTCCTCTAGGAGACATTTGGGGTGGGGGGGGAGGGTTGCAGGGGGGGATGACAGAAGTGAGGTGGGGACTGGTTTGAGGGTGACCGTGTGATAACTATCTGAGCCGTGGATGAAGTGGGGCCCAGTCAGCTAGTAAGTCAGTCAGTCAGTCAGTCAGTCAGTCAGTCAGCTAGTCAGTCAGTCAGCCAGTCAGTCAGTCAGTCAGTCTGTCAGTTAATGCCCATCCGTACACCTCCAATGAGGGGTCTCCGGGACACACCACCAACCCCCAACACCCCCGCCCCCACCCCCACCTGAGTCCACTACGAGCAGTGCGCCGTACTGTGTGGGGTCGAAGCAGGTGGCGGGTGAGCCCAGCACCTCCAGGAAGTAACCCCGGTCTCGGAGCGTGTTGTACAGCCCGTGGAAGTTGGTGTGCAGGTGGTCCCCGTGCCAGTCCAGGATGTCGGACTTGACGTCCAGGTTGTCCCGGGGCAGGTAGGCGGGGGGGTACTTGAGGCTGTGGAACTGGTCCCACAGCACGCGGCGGGAGCGGGGGGGCACGGGGCCGATGCGGGCGCGGAGGGGAAGACTGACCTTGGACCTGGCAGGACAGGGGGAAGGTGCGGGGAAGGGCGGGGGCCAGCAGTGTGTGCGTGCTTAGGCCGGGAGCCGTTGACAGAGGGGTGACGGAGGGGACAAGGGCGCGTCCCCCCCCCCCGGGGATGTTGGGTGCGGGATGTGGGGGGGGGGGCGATTGGAGGGTTGGGGGATGGGGTGATGCAGGCGGGCAGGGAGCGGCCAGCATGGGTTGCTGGGACTCCACCCCACTCGCCCCACTTGTCGGCCCTTGAGTCCGGAGTCGGAGCCAGGGCAGGGCGGGAGCCAGCAAGCAGGGCAGGGCGGGAGCCAGCAAGCAGGGCAGGGCGGGAGCCAGCAAGCAGGGCAGGGCGGGAGCCAGCAAGCAGGGCAGGGCGGGAGCCAGCAAGCAGGGCAGGGCGGGAGCCAGCAAGCAGGGCAGGGCGGGAGCCAGCAAGCAGGGCAGGGCGGGAGCCAGCAAGCAGGGCAGGGCGGGAGCCAGCAAGCAGGGCAGGGCGGGAGCCAGCAAGCAGGGCAGGGCGGGAGCCAGCAAGCAGGGCAGGGCGGGAGCCAGCAAGCAGGGCAGGGCGGGAGCCAGCAAGCAGGGCAGGGCGGGAGCCAGCAAGCAGGGCAGGGCGGGAGCCAGCAAGCAGGGCAGGGCGGGAGCCAGCAAGCAGGGCAGGGCGGGAGCCAGCAAGCAGGGCAGGGCGGGAGCCAGCAAGCAGGGCAGGGCGGGAGCCAGCAAGCAGGCTGGAGCGGCCCCTCCGATGCCCCGACAACACACCCTCACAGCGCCCTTCCAGCCCCGCCAGCCAACACGTCCGTACAAACCCACAAACCCACAACACCGACCAACCAGCTCTCCACACGACTTCCCCACCCGGCCCCCACCCCACCCCACCCCACCCCACCCCAACACATACATGCATACGTACATACATACATGCACCCCCCAGTCACACCAGCCCCTCCCACCTGCGCGGCGCCTCTTCTCCTGGTCCCGGCGGTGACACCACCACCGCCTCCACCACTCCGTTCGCCACCCCCTGGTAGGCCGCCCCCCCGGGCAGCACCCGGATGTACAGCGCCAGGAACCCCGACCAGGGCCACAGCAGGTCGCTCCACTCGAACGTGAGGTGCAGCAGCTGACCCGCCGGGTCGGTGGGGCGCCACACGGGGGGCCCCTCCAGCCAGCCCACCACACCCTGGCCGTTGAGCAGTGTGGCGTTGAACATGACGGGCATGGCGCCTGGGGCATTGAGGCGGGGGGGAATGGAGGGAGGGAGGGAGGGAGGGAGGGAATGGACGGACAGACGGACGGATGGATGGATGGAAGCATCCCAAGATGAAGTTAATGGTAATGATGATGATGATGATGATGATGATGATGATGATGATGATGATGATGCGGCAAAAGGGTCAACTGCCGACACCCCCAAACGACACCAAACTGCAATCCGCCAGGCGAAGGGAGGAGGGGACGGCCACCTCGCCTCCAACACGTCTCAATCAACACCCCGCCATCCGCCACCCCCTCGGTCGGTCAGCTGCTCACCCGCATACAGGTACTGGCGGCAGAAGGGCCACAGGTATGGACAGTCCGTCAGGTCCAGCTTGGAAGGGATGACTGACGCGCGAGGCGTGTACGACTGCAAATTGTCGTGTAAGGCACGTACGACATGTGCGGCGGGACGGTGGCAGATGAGGAACATACAAAAGAAACACTCTCTGATCACACACACACACATACACACACACACACACCATCTCCAGGTTGCTCGGCGGGGGACTGCGGCGACGAAGAGATATGAACCTTCTTCTTCCGCACCACCTTGTTGCTCTGGCTGGCGGTTCCAAAGCAACCCCACTGCCCTGCCCTGCTCATCCCACTGCCCTGCCCTGCTCATCCCACTGCTCACCTGCAATATGGCCATGCTGTTGGGCAGGTTGATGCGGCCACTGCCCTGCGGTCGCACAGGCATACAGATATTCATACGCACGCACACAGCGGCAGCGGCGGTGGAGGTCCACCGGGGTGCAGCCGCCGCCGCCGCTGCAGCGGGGCCCCGTAACCGAGAACAATAATGTCCGCAGCAGCAGCAGCAGCAACACGACAACAAAAACAACAACAAGAACGACGAGTAACGACGATGGCTCTGATCGTCCTCAGCTCGCGGAACGGCACCTCGTGCACACCGCCGCCTTCGCACACTGCCATACATCGCAAAACACTCTTTCCCCTCCCCCCGGCCCCGGCCATACCTGCTCGTATATGTTGAGGTTGTTGAGTCTGACCGCGCCCTCCACCAGGGCCTGCTTCATGGACGCCGGGTTGAGCAGCTCCCAGCGCCGCTCCTCAGGCACGGTGGACGCCAGCAGACACACCGCACCCGCCACCACGGGGGAGGCCACGGACGTACCTGACGGACCGGGGGTGAGGGAGGGGGAGAGGGAGGGGAGAGACGAACCACGAGTGAGTGAAGGTGATGCCAAGGAAAGACTGCTGCGGCAGATATAAAGGAAGGCATAACTAACCAATCGGCGGTTGAGAGGGAGAGGCAGGGGGGAAATGCGTGATATGCATGACAGCCAAAAGCGAAACAATGTCCAAAGACGCCCAAAGCACCCAGCGTGGCAGTTCCTGAGGGCCAAGACGCAACTGCCCCTAAAAGGGGGTCGGCGGTTGGGAGGGGCATATGCGGACGGGGGGCGGTGGGGCGGCCGGCGCGGCACGGCAAGAGGAGGAGGCGGCGGCGGAGGAGGAGGAGGAGCAGGGATGCACGTGCAGCAGAAATGGATGGGAGGCACTGAACTGTGCGGGCGGGGCTCCATGTGCCGCCCCATGTGGTGGAAGCGCAAGAGAGAGGAAGGTAGGTACAGTTCTTCTTGCTCTCTCCTCCTCCCCCCGGCTCCACTTCCCTCCCTGTTGGTGGCGCCCCCTGGTCGAGTCGTCCGCAGTCTCCCTCGTTATCACCCCCCCCCTGATGTTAAGGGCCCCCCTTCCTCCCTCCCCCTCCTCCCGGCCCCTGCTCCCTCCCGCCCGCCCACCCGACAGCGAGCGACACCCTCCCTCGATCTTGGATCCCTGCACGTCCTTGGAGTACGCCATCACGTCGGGCTTCACTCGGCCGTAACCCCGAGGCAGCTCCCACGTGCTCATACCCCTGATGAACCCCCGGGTGCGGGGGGAAGCGGGGGGAAAGGGGGGAAGGGGGTTGATGCCGGGAAATGGGGGCAAATGGGGTGAAGGGGGGAAATGGGGTGACGGGGGATAGGGGAGCGGGATGGGCCCCAAGGAGGGGGAATCCTGGGGAGGGAGGGAGAGGAGGAGGGGCTTTGGAGAAGAACAAATAATAAACTGGTAATTTAGTTAATTAGTTGCGTTGGTTACAGCGCTCGCCAATATCATCCGCGATCCCGGGGGGTAAGTTCCCGTATGCAGTTAACCCCCGTGGGAAGGTGGTGTGCTTGGCTGACAGACTTATAGGCTGAGTTTCGGGGGGCGGGTGAGTGGGTAGGGGGTGAGATGGGGTGGGATTCTAGAGCTAGGCAACCCGCCCACGTGGGGGGCAGGTTCCGGGCCGCACCCCACCTGCTGCTGAAACTGGCGATGTTGTCCCAGTTGTCAATGCCGCCCACCCCGATGACGTCATTCTGGTCGGCGGGGTTGTTCAGGGTGCCGTACAACGGCCCGTCATTGCCGATGGCGCTGACCAACAGAATACCGTTGCTGGTCACCTCCAGGACCTCCGGAACGTGAAAGTGTGTGTGTATGCATGTGTGTATTGGGGAGGGGGAGGGGGGGAGGGGGGATCATCCGGGGTGTAGGAAGCAATGGGTCCACTGGAGACGTTCAAAGAGGTGAGGTGAGGGTGGAGAGGTCAAGGGAGGGGGCAATATGGGGTCTAAGCCAGGACGTAGAGAATACGCCGCGGGGAAGGCGGGGTCGTGGTTCTTTAATTACCAGCTACAGTGTATCACCACCATCTCCACCATCGCCTCAACCCCCATCACCCTCAGGCCCCCACCCCTGAGCCGCACCTTATCCACAAATGGCTGATCCAGATAGTCAGGTCCGCCGATGGACAGATTGATGACGTTGATCTGTATATTGTACGACACGGTACGGCATGTTGCGACACAATCGAAGAAAGCATATCGCGGTACATAAAATAAACAGCTGGCAGCTGCCGTGCAGCTGCGATGTAATGCTGCAGCACTGCCGTCACACAGTTCGTACCCCCTAGGCCGCCAAGCGCTCCGCACCTCCCAGTTCACCTACCTGTGTGTGTGTGTGTGTGTGTTTTCATGTATCTCTTTTTGTATATCGATCCGCATCACCTCACCCCTCCATCTCACCCCACAACAAAACACGTAGCGACCCGCAAGTTGGCGTAATGCCGGTCAATAACTGGGAGGTGGCCCCCCATCTTATGGACGGTGTAGGACGTGATAAAATTAACTTGCGAGCTGACCAGGAACTAAGTTGAGGCGCCGTTGATCCGCTAGATTTGGTTGGATGCTGGTGGTGAGTTGCTGAACCCAACGAATACATTCTGAAGTCGGATGGGGTGAACGGATTAGGGTGCCCCTCTCGCAGGGGAGAGCAGGGAACTGCCACTGGTGAAGCTTAACCACCCTGTAACAACATCAACTACCCCCCGGCCCCCCCCACTCCCCCCACCAGCACCAGCACCTGTTCTGCGACGGACGCCTCCCGGAAGCGGCGGAGGGGAGCCGGGAGCACCCAGGCACCCAGCCGCCTCTGACCCCCTCCCCACAGCCCTCTGAACTTGCACCAGCATCGAATCCCCGCCGGTCCACTCAACACTTCGCTGCACCCACCATCACCACCACCACCACCACCACCACCAATCCCCAAGTCGCTTTTTTCTCTCTTCGCACACACACACCTTGCAGCTGTACTGCCTTACCTGTACGACAATCGCATAGTTGAAGGCATCAAGGAACCAGCTGGTGTACGACACCTGGTCGTCAGTAAACACCTGTAGTTTTAACCCCCGGGGTGCGAGGGGGGGGGGCAGGGACGGGACGGGAGGTGCGGGGGACAGCGGGAAGGGCTGACGCGGCTGCGGATGAGGGGGTGGGATTAAACCCTGGAAGGGTGTGGAGGGGAGGTGCGGGGTGGTGCCCCGCCGCGGCATGCACGCATCCCCAACACACCACACCAGCCCCACCCGCTAGGCCGCCCCCCCGCCCCGTCACGGCGCCTGTTCGATACTTTCAAAGCGACCCAGGCCGGTCTCGCCGCCCCCCTCACCCCACCCTCACCCCCCACTACCACCCCCCATATCCCCCCGCCCACTACAACCCGGTGGTCTGGTGTTGCTGTATCTCACAGTCTTCCCCCTTTAGTCCCTCCCTCCGCCTCTCCCTCCTCTCCCCATGTCCGTATCCACGTCCGCACCCCACCTTAAATGTGTAGAGGTCAACATCGGGGGCAAACCCCGGGCACTGGCTGTCCTGACCTCCCACCACACCTGAGGCCCGGGCGCCGAGCGGCCCGGGGCGAGGGAGGCGGGCGGGGGGGGGGATACAGAGCACTTTGGGTGGTGCTTCAGGCGCATGCCGGCGGCAGCTTCGACCCTGTTTGATGGTCCTCCTTGCACCATCATCATCGTTAGCATCATCGTCATCGTCATCATCATCATCGTCATCACATGATTCCCCCCTTCGTGCCCAAGCACATGGTGCGAACATGACCCACACATCAACCCTCGTACGCCGACGACTGATACCCAGCTCCCTTCCCCTCCCTCCCCCCCCCAACCCCTCCCTCACCCCTTGCCATCAGTTTCACTCGCTCGTGGTTCGTCTTTCCCCCCTCCCCCCCTCGCTCATCCCCCCCTCACCCGCCACAAAGGACCCGTGCCCCAGTCCGTCACTGAGCGAGTCCTGGTGGGTCCAGTTGGTCCGCTCCCGGATGTTGCGGCATGTGGGGGTGGCCCCGGCGAATACCCGTGTCGAAGATACCCACCTACAAGGAAGGAAGGAAGTACACAGCAATACAACAACAACAACAGCACCAGCACATGACGATGACGGCGGTGACGGCGATGACAACAGCATCAACAGCTTCAACAGCTACAGACGCCGCGTTTGTCAGTGGCAGCAAATGCAAGGTGTCGAGGTGGCTGCCCTCGCGCTGCCAAGCTCCCCTTCGCTCTACAGAAACACAGACACACGCCCACATACAGATACAAACCCCGCACCCACCCGCACACCCCCCCTACCCGCACCCCCTCC